ATCATCTACCTTCCTACGTTTTGGTTGTTGTTCTCCGCGAAGAATGCATTCAACTTGGTATTCCACATGCTCCTGTTCTTTTTGAAATCCTTCTATGATGTTATAAACGCCAACATGGCCCGTCCAATTAAGGTCTCCCATCTTCTGTGCCAAGCCTCGACAGCATTTTGAGTGCGCGGAGCTCCCAGTTGTAGGGAATCAAACACGCTCCAGAGTGCTGGTGGGAACATCGGAGGAACGCGAACGGCAATGCCATTACGCAAACGGCGCCGCATTCTTCCACGAACGTAGTTGTCTTCGAACCACTGAACGACTTCTTGAGCATCGGGTGGCAAGTGAGGAAGTAAAGTGTCAAATGCTGCTGAAATTTCGTCAGCTGGTATAAACGCTAACGCAAATAAATGACGAAGCATTAAACTAAATCTTTCATCTGTGCCGTAGCGAGAAGCCAATCCACTCGATTGGATTTTTCTCCAACCACACTGACACAGATGGAAAAAACAAGCCTTATTAATAACGTCAGGGAACTCTGATTTTGAAGCATTTATAGCTGCCTTTTCTAGATCACTAATGATTCTAGATGGCCTCAGTTCAATATTATTTTCTTCAGCGAAATCAATTAAATCTTGGAATAATCTTTTGTAATTTTCTTCAGATTTGCTAGTCATCAAAGCATATACTAGTGGAAGAATTCTAAAATTTTGAGATCCAACAGGTGCGTGAATTGTATATAGCTGGTAAAATATTGTGGGCACCGTTTTAAATGTGCCGTCCATAATCCAATAAGGTGCCTGTGATAAATGTTTAACATTTGCAACTGTTGTAAACATTAGAATTCTCTCATCTCCAACTGCAGAATCTCTCACTAAAAATAATTCACCAATTAAAGTATTTCTTAAAGTAGCTGGAATATCAATTTCATTCAATGATTTTGGTTCTGGTGGCCTTTCGTTTTGCCTGACCCGTTTAATTTTTTTCCCGAATAGCTTCTTTTGATGGAAGGTATGGGCGAATGTTCTGAGAGGTTTTTACGATGTTGCTTTGAATTATCTGACACGGTTCACTTCCGGTATGCCGAGCATCTTCTTTCGATTGGCTAATACATTTTGCGATAGCAGCTGCACTCGCTTGTGGAACATGGTTATGCTGAGTAAATTTACGGAGATGATGTTGTCCATTCAGAAATATTGTTGTTACTCGACCTTTGCACATATCGTATTTTCTTTTTTCACAACACCAATAATGTAAATCATCGCAATTCTTATCTTTCACCATTAAATAACCATGTGCATTAATTTTATTGCTTCCCTTTTGAAACAGAAAAATTTCACAAATTTCAGCCATATTTTGGAACAATTTAATGAGCAAAAAACAAACCGGCAAGTGAGCACTGTCTATCTTGAGGCGAACGTAACCCTATAGCATGTATAAAGCCTAGAGCTGTATCATTCCGTCATTGTGAAATAGTTTCCTCTTTCTCCTATTCACATAGATTATTGTGAAATAGTTCCCTCTTTCTCCTATTCACATAGATTATAAAAGGCCTAAAAGATAAGAAATGACCTTCGCGTGAGGTCAGCCGACCCTTTGTCATTACAATGTCCTTCCGTAAGCAGCTGAAAGTATGTTAAGGGGTCATTAGGCCTTATTGGATTTCGCCCGTGTCGGTATTTTGATCCTGTCAGGATATTGGACAATCGGGATTTCGACCCTGTCGGGATTTCGGCTGTCGGGATTATGTCCGGATACGGGCTAAATGACCTATCGGCTAACTGTCCGGTCGGCTAAGTTTCCGTGTCGGCTAACTGGTGTCATTTAAGTGTCCCATCAGCTAAGTCGTTGTCGGCTAAGTGCCACGGACCCATTCATTACAACAAAAACAAATGCTAATGACTGGTACTCGCATGCCGAGTATGCTGATATACGTAGATTGACACATAAATAAATTTTGGCAGAATAGTGCATTGCCTCATGAATGCTAATTAGGAGGTGCAGATATTTGAAAAATGAGAAATATAATTATCTAAATTAATAAATTATATAAATTTTAAAATAATTACCGTATTTAACGGCATATAAGATGCCCTTTTTTTTCCTAAATTTGGTCTCAAAAAAGTTACCTGCGTCTTATACGTGAAGGACACAGTCTTATATGTGAAGGTAATTGCATTCAATAATTGTTTATTTGGCTTTTACGAAACGTGAGAAGTAAAAGAAACCACGCTATTGAAACTTTTTTTCCCTGTGTGTGGCCATCTAAATAAGGGTGTGTCTTATATGCCATCAAGTATGGTATATAAATAAGCTCAAATAATATTTTGTCTATTTTATCTGTTTAATATTATGTTTATAGTTTTTTTGTTTCAGTTAATTTTGTGCTTTGCATATGTGGGCAAAGCATTGTTGTCAAAGTTTACATATGCAATTTTCTGTTAATTCAGGAATGAATTTATTCATTTTACATTAATTCCTTTGGGCAAATAGTTTTGGTGTACGAACAACCATGTGTAATGAATAGTATTCTTGTGACTAGGTTCCATTGTATATGTATCTGCGATATATTATATAATTAGTAAGTGACTGTGTTACATAAATTAGAAGAAGAAGTTGGTATAAAAAAAAAAAAAAAAAATTCTGGCCTTGGCAATTTCATTAGAGATAATATGGGTAGTTTCTAAGAAACCTCTCTTAAAGACCTCTCTTTGTTCAAAAACCTTTACAACTAGATTTCTGGCTATTTGGCCTATTTGATTAATTCATTTAGTCAAAATGTTTTTTGCTTAATTAAAACAGTTATAGATAATTTTAGTGTTGTAGGTAGTTTTAGTGTTATATTATACTGCGGAAAAAAGAGGGGGGACAGTTCTATATCTCTCGTTCTGCTGGGCTGATTGATGAAATTCAACTTGCATTTTTCATGTTTCGAAAGCACGACTTAGGTTATGTATTAGATTTATATAGCATTGTTCTAATATAGGTATTTTGACACAAAAATCTGACTTTTTCTGAAATAACATACCAATTTTTTTCAATATTTCAATTCTGTGACTCAAATTACGCCGAACTACCAAGTTTTGTAAAAAATCAATCCAGTAGGTTTTAAAAAATTAATTCTCAAAATTTTAGCTTCTCAATGTTAATTGAGTTTGGTATATATTTATTAAACTCTCTTTTATTATTAAGCTTATTTGATTCTTCCTTTCACATTTTAGAATTCAGGTTCATTCCAAATAAAATTGATCCATTTTTTTATGATTTATTGTAAAAATTTGTATTTTTAAATAATTTTTATAAATTTTTCAAAAAATATTTGAATTAAAATCTATAAAATTTTTACCGTCATCTGAAAGTAGATGTATTTCTAAGCATACCTGCAAAAAATTACAGTTTTTTATTCAAAATTTCCAAAGATATACGTGAATTTATATATTGGTGCGTTTTGAAATTTGGCATATGTGTTGAAAGCAATAAAACACACTTTGCGAAATTTTTTGGTTTCGACACTTTGCTAGAATTATTTGGAAGTAGAAACATAGTGAGTTTTTTCCCGTTCATGCACAATGTAAAAAGGTAGGAACGAGGTGCCTTTTTTCCCCTCTCCGGCATAATGGAATGGAAAGGAAAATTGGTTGCTGTGTATTTTAGAAGTTTGCCAAGTGAATTCTTCTTGTCACAAACTGAAAAAATTTGCCAAGACAAATTTGTGAATTTCTCTGTAAATTTCGTACCAAATTTTACAAAATTTAATATCTAGGCATAATTCGAGTCAGAGAAACGAAATGTGGAAAAAATTGGTATGCTATTTCAGAAAAAGTCTGATTTTGTGCCAAAATGCGTATGTTGAAACAGTGCTATATATAAATCTACTAATATATATTGTAAGTCGTGCTTTCGAGGCATGAAAAATGCAGTTTGAATTTTGTCAATTGTCTCAGTAGAACGGGAGATATAGAACTTCACCCTTTTTTTAGTGTAGTGTACATACATTCTGATTATCCACACCACTATCAAAAAGCTGCAATCTCTTTAATGGTTTAGGAATGCATTATTGACTTCGTTGATGACTTTCACAAATTCTTAGGTGACCTTAGAGAGAAACGTTTGTCTGGGTATTTTTATTTAGATATGTATTTAGTGTTGCCTATTCTTTTACGTTCATAAAAAAATAACACCTGTTTTCATAAAAATCTTTCTGTATTTTTTCCTCTCATTTTGCACTGTTCTTTCTTTTGTGTGCACAGCAATGCGTTTTCACTAAAAAGTGTCGGAAAATTGCACAAACTTGACATCATGCATTGGCACAGTTATCAAAAAATATTTGAAACTTCAACATACATTCAAGTGTAATGAAAATAGAATAGGCCAAACTCCAGTTCGATTACGATTATGACAGAAGCAAACATACACAGTGCAAAAAGAAATGCCAATCTAAAAAATGACCATTGAATTTTAAAAGTGCAAATCCACGTAAACTCATATTATACTCATAGCTGTGTTGCCACATAAATACTTTTTGTTGACGTGTGTAGCCTTGTTAGTGCTTTTTCACTTAGTTTTACTGTGGGTGCAAATAGTCTGAAAGTACTGATTTGTGAAACTTAGGCAGACTTTCTGGTTTGACCTTCAAGTTAGTGTTCAAAAGAGCATTTTTTTCTTAATTTCATGAAGGATTGAAGATAGTTTCATTGGAAAGTACTAAAGACTACCATTTAAAACTTCATTTGATTTCATTGGTGTACTGCAAAAAAGAAAACTAGTAATCTAGAATGAAACTTCAGTTTTGTATATCAACAGCAAAGCTTAATATAGAGCTCAATTTAAAAAAGATTAAATGAGCTAGATATTTTTTTTCAGTAACTAGTATTTCCAAACATTTCTTTTTCAATTTTGTTTTAACTATGTATTTAATTTATGTAAAAAATAATGCATGATATATAATTTGATAGTAATATTTTATTTGCATTCAGATTTACTGACTTTCTATGGATTTTTCATTTTAGAGAAAGGGGACATAGTCGAGGCAATAAAATCAAGCTTTCTTGAAGTTGATGCAGATATGCTCAAAGGTATATTTCTTTCCATATGTATATCATATTAACTATTTCTTCAGTTTTCTTATATAAATTTAAAAAAAAAAAAAAATATTGCAGATGAAAACATGAGGGATGAATTAGCAGGAACAACTGCTGTTATTGTTCTTTTGAAGAATGGAAAAATTTATTGTGTAAGTTATCATATTTGGCTAGCTATTTATGATTTAAATAAAATTGTAAAATAGTAATTGGTTATATTTCAGTTTCCTCACTGAATATTCTTATCGGATGGATAATTTCAAAAGCTAATGTTACGGATATCTTCATATACATACTTTTGGAGGGTCTGAGCATTTGCATTATAAAGCATTAAGCTCATTTTATGTAAAATTGGCATTTAAAATAAATTTAATGTAGTCATTTATGCCAGTATTTAACACTTTTTTCGAAGGAGGAGGAGAAAAATTACGTCAATTTTAAATTTAGACCTAATTTTTTTGTCTATGATTTATAAATTAAAGCTAGTGGTTTAAATAGAGAAAGGAAGGAAACTGTTTTATGGATTTCTTATTATTAGTCCTAAGGGGCAATTTGCCCAGAAGTACAGTCAAATCCCGAAAATCCGGCAACTCCTGAAATCCGCGTTGCCTCTCAAAATATAAACAATCAGTTTATAAGTTCCAGAAACCGCAACATGGAGTACGAAATATCGAAGAAAAAATACTTACTGAATAATGACATCATAATTACCGAATAATAATGAGTTCTAACGGATATATCAAATTATTGGCATCGTGATAAAAGTTTTCCTCTCCAATTTGCATTGAGGTAAAAAAGCAGACTATTCACTCAACTCTTCTTTCAAGTTCATGATTCAGGTTCTTGTATTTTCTGAGCTTTGTTATTTCGCGAGATTGCTTAGTGCTGCCCTTTTTTTTTTTTTTTAATCCAGATATTTTGTGGATAAATTATGAATATTTTAAATTTCAGCGCTTTTTAATACATTGACAGATAAGAAACGCACTCGTGGTGGTTTTACTGCTTGAAACGTTGAAAAACGTAAACACATTGCATTGATGGTAATGCACAAAGTGTAGATTCTGCAAAAGATAGAGGCAGGTGTACAAGTGATTCCGGCAGCGACTGAGTGATGGGGTACCAATTTCAGGACCGTTCTTGAGAAAAAAGGGGAAGCAGAATCATGCTGACTTAAAAAAGAGGAGCTGTGCTGATTTAAAAATAGAGGAGCCTAATGTAAATGAATAATATAATCAATTTATATATGTAATAATGATTTGGTTAGAGTAGACTTTAAGGTACCCTTTTATTATGTGGCGAAGTTGTTGTTTCATTTATCGCCAAATTGTTGTTTCATTTATGGTAGCCTGAGTAGTTGAATGTTATGGAAACCCTATTGTGACGTAATCGTTTGCATTGATTAAGGGAAATTTTGAATCATTTGATGTTTTGTAAGGGCAATTTTGTGGTGTGTGTGAGGTTAAAAAGTACATTGCTTAGACGGTAGAATAGCTGAATGTAGTAAGATTAGTTTGAAGTTTCTGCGCGATTTGGAACGAAAGGGAAAAACTGCATTAATTGACTGGTGTGGTAAATGAAAGGTTTACTTAGTAGCCATTATGAGTGTCCTGTATGTAGGAAGGATATGCATTTAGTCGAACATAAAAACTGTTTAGATGGATTTGAATGGGTTTGTAGGAAGAAAGGTTCAGATATGGCGACGCCGATATACGGATTCGCGTTCAGATAATTTTAGGAAATTTTTGGATGCTGTTAAGGAATTTTGTGTGCCACAGACTAAAGATAAAGAACTTCTAAATAGGGTAAGCAGATATTTGCTTTTTGTAGTGCTTAAATGTATAACATGTTTTTCCTTTTTTTATGTTATTTTATTGTTTGGTTTAAAATGTAGTTTATTGAGATTATGTATTTTTTGTTTGCCTGTATTGTAGAATTGGGTGCTCCTTTGACTTTTTAAGTGAAAATAGATCGATATGTACATGGACAAAGTGAAGGGAGTGCACAATGCAAATTTGTGTCATTCTTGGATTTTTTTTAAGGGAAATTAGGGCCACGTTTACATGGATAAAGTAAAAGGAGTGCGCAATGCCATTTTCGCACAGTTCGAGGATTTTTTTTTAAGTGATAATAGGTCAATGTGTACATGGATACCGAGTTTGTGCAATTCTTTGTCTTGCTGTTTTGGCTTTGTGTAGCGGTGATTTTTGGCACAAAACCAAGGGGTACCCTAAAATATACTTTTACCAATAATTTAATGCATATAATAAATTATTGTAATAATTTATATAATAATTTAATTAAATGCATCTAACATGCTGTATTTATTTTGCACTTTTAGTCTGAATATTATGATTTATCTTTTCTGTCCTGAAATCCACACAACCTCTGGTCCCAAGTTTTGTGGATTTCTAGACTTTTACTGTACTGTAATTTCGTCTTGGCATTTTGCGTTGATTCACAATAAATGTTGATTCACTTTTCAAATTGTAGAGCCCTGTCTATTTAAAGAAATTAAATAATGAAGAATCTACATATGGGGTGGGGGGACATTTTTATCTTCAGCGCAGGAGACTGTATATCAGAAATTCTAAAGATATGTTCATTTTTAAATTATTTGCAATATTGCTGTTGAACTGGGTTTAATGGTTTAAGTGCAAAAAAACATGGTATTTAATAAATAAAGGTAACGCACAGAATGTTAAAAAAATGCCCCTTCGGGCTTAATATCAAATCTGAAAACTTTCAGTTTTTTTTTTTTTTTTTTTTTTTTTTTTTTTTGTGTGGTTTGTGTGTGTGTGTGTGTGTGTCAATAATAGCTTTTAGAAAATACTAACTTCACAAAATGACAACTCCTGCAAATTGCATTTAATATGTATGCTACAAACTTTGATTCCTAAGTCAGAAACATGAAGGCCACATTTGATTCCTTTTGAATTTCCTAAATTTAATTCTTTATAGCAGAGCATTAATAATTTTAATCAACAGATTTTTAAAAAAAATAATCATCTTTTAAAATCATATATAATTTTTTAAATGATGGGAAATACATTAAAATCAAAAGTTTAAAATAATCTAGTGCTGTTAAAGAGATTTTAAGTACTGAATTTAAAAAAAGTAAAATTGTTTAAAATATTTTAATTAAGCTATGCTTAAATATTTTAATATTTAAGCATAGCTTAAAATATTTTAAACAATTGTTTAAAATATTTTAAATTGTTTAAAATATTTTAATTAAGCACAATGCAAGAAAGTATGTTTTCAAAATTCATGTTATTTCAAATGTAATGATGAGTGCATTAATTCAAAGGATACTTGTGTATTATCACAACCATCTCAGCAGAAGTCGCCAAATTTTCAGAGTGTGCCTAATACTGGCAACCATACTTAAAACATTCCTTCAGTCAAGCAGCATCACCATTTTATATGCATTATTTTTGTTATATTCAAGTTCTAGTGGTTTTTATGAACAAATTATGATATTTTTGCTCTAAACTCAATTTTAAAATAATTTTCCCAAATAATAATAATTGAGAAATTTGGAAGCAACGAAAAAACTGCTGTAAGAATGCAGTATTTTGCTACAGAATTGCTGAAAGGAACAGTTATGAGAACCATGTGGTAGATAGCCACTGCATAATGTTGAGTTTGTGCACAGTGGCGAGTTGTGCAATTCTCTGATTTTTTTTTTTTTTTTTTTTTTTTTTTTTGTAAGCGAAAATGAATTGCTATGGACAAGGATAAAAGAATGTCAGAAGGATTTTCATGAAAAATGTGCTTTATTTTTAATATGACGTATGATTTTTATTTAATAATTAAAGTTTGTATTTCAAACTGAGTGTATTTTTTTGATATATTGGTAATGCTTTGTCAACTATTGATAAAATTGATAGTCTGGGAATAGTTTTCATGAAAAATCTGAGAAATCATCAACTTGCAAATAATTTTCACTTTTTTTATCTTAAAAAAAAGTCTCCAAGGTTGTTGCATTAATATGAAAGTACTGTTCAAAATATGTGATGTGTGATCTAAGGAAATATGCTGTAAAAACACCATCTTTGCAAAAATCTAAACTAACTAGATCATCAAGTAGGTTTAAAAAAAAAATACCACAAATCTATCATTTTGCTATGTAAAAACCCTTACTCTATAAAATTAGTAAGTAATGCTTGTTTATCTTAAAAAAGTCTCCAAGGTTGTTGGGTGAATATGAAAGTGCTGTTCAAAGTATGTAATGTGTGATCTAAGGAAATATGCTGGAAAAACACCATCTTTGCAAAAATTTAAATTAGATCATCAAGTAGGTTTAAAAAAAGTCATAAATCCATCATTTTGCTATGAAAAACCCTTACTTTATAAAATTAATAAGTGATGTTGCGTTTTAGATATAAATCCACATTTAAAAGTGGACAATCATGTAGGATGTGATCTATTGCTTTTATATAGTGGTTTATGTTTTAGATGACTGCACTAAAATAAGTTTTTGTTTCCCCCTCCATTTTATTACATGTTTGAATTTTAAAATAGCATTTTAGTGGCATCATGTGAGAAATAGGTAACTAACTGAAAGCAGTAGATTGCTTGCTACATGATTACCTAAAAGTGATTTAAGTAGTGAATTATTAAATTATATATATGAAAGGCAAATAGAGAAATGCTGTAATGTTTTAATTAATCAAACAGTGTAATGCTAGACAATTAGTCCACAGTCGGCCATGATATTGTACAGTAGATGGAACTTCACATTTAGTAGAAACTTTTCATACATCAAAGAACAAATAGCAACAAGGTACTTGACTTTTTTAACTACTAATTAATACTAGTAATTATTAACATTATTATAATAATTAAATTAATGGCTAAGATGTCATATACGGCCCGGGATACATGTGGTTGCCAAATGTAGCAATATTTTGTGTTGGATGGTTTAGTTTAGATTTTGGTGAAATTTTGTTTGTATGGAAACCCTTTTTATGTGGAAACTTTTGTGGAGAATGTGGCTTTATTTCATTGTGGTGGATTTTTTTTGGGGGGGTATGTGTTGAATAATGGCATTATAGTTCCATGAAGGAAGTTGTGGAGAGATAGCAGCCACATGTTTTAGGTGTATTCAAGCTGGATTTAGTTCGAGAAGCTACGTTGTTGGAGTTATTAATGAAGCATTTGTCCATGGTTGTCTTCGTGCTCACAGAAGTGTATTTTTGCTCTTTTTATGAGAAACAGGATTTTTGAAGCCGAACTTGACATGTAAGAAGTGCGGTTCTGATATGACGATTTGGAAGAAAAATTGTTTCTGATGGATTTGTGCGGATTTGCCAAAAAAAAAAAAAAAAAAAAAAGTTGTTGAGGGTAAAGAATGTGGTTTTTAATGAAGTTTGAGGTTTGGATTCTGGTTTTCCTGCAGTATGTTGATTTTAGAGGAAATTTTTATTGTAACTTTTAAAAGTCTGAATCTTAGAAAAATGCCGATATAGGTAAGTTGTGGCATGTTGGTTCACATGCTTTGTTTGATTGGCGTAGTTTTATTAATGAAAGTATATTGGATTGCGTATATGATATGTCTGTCTAAGTTTTTGTTTGAAATTAATATTTCGCTTTCTTGGGAACTATTTTGAATGGTAAGTGAATTTGCTTGTTTATTGTTTTAATTTTGTAGACAGTTATTTTAGTTGTTACATTGCTTTAATTTTATTTTGTTATTTTTTTAATTTTTGAATTTATTTGTGTTGAAGTTGTTTGGAATTTTGTTGTTCTTTCAGTTTAAATGGCTCTAGTGTGGAATTTTGTTGTTCTTTCAGTTTAAATGGCTCTAGTGTAGAATTTTGTTGTTCTTTCAGTTTAAATGGCTCTGGTGTAGAATTTGATGCCCCTTTGATTGGCGACAAATTTTGTTCAATTTTGGTGATAAAACCCCATTTCTGGGTACCATGGAAGTTTCAATGTGGTTTTAGCTTTCTGATTTTTTTAAGTGAAAATAGATTGATGTGAGCAATTATGATTATGATTATGATCGAAAGAGTATCAAAATTTACAAAATAAAGCTTAATATTTTATTTGTTTACTTTATTAAACATTTCTTTCAACGCGCGCGTGCGTAAAGCATACATTACGCATAGTCGAAATTAGAAAATTTCAACCACAAAACTATTCGATGTGTATTTGTGATATTTATAATGACGAGGAATTTGATTTAAATCATATCAAAGACGGAGTACATAGAGATGAAATACTACATTTAGTAAGGAATTATAAGCCAAATAAAATAAAAACATCTGCCCTGAAGATGATGGAGGGCGTCCCCCCTTCCCCACAGAGCAGCGTAAAATTGATAAACAGATTTCGGAATAGTTAGAGAAACAAAGGATATGCCTTTATCCATTTTTTGCAGCAATTACACTTTTTGTTTGATGGACATCGAAACATGCTTTTGCATTGTAGATCCTTTGGCAGTTCCAGAATCAGAAACTCTTTTTGACATTATCGAAAGTTCAAGCTTATTTTTTATGAAATTGCTCTAACAGTCTGCAAAAAATGATAAGCCGGATCCAATTAGAAGATTAAGGAACAACGCAATCTGCAACATTAACTGAAATAGATAATTTTAGACTAGCTTATATTGTTATACATTAAACGTGCATGCGTAAACATTTTATGCACATCCGTAAATGCATTATGCGTTTAAAAGTTTGTAGAAAGTTTGTAGCTTTGAGGTCCGAATTATAGATAATTCCGGATTATGGACGTCTGGATTAAAGACTTTGTACTGTAAATCTTATTTTTTACAGGCTGTGTTCATCATCACTTCTAATATTTACAATGAACATTTTTAGATTTTTATTTAGAATGAAGTTTTTTAGTATAGCAATTTTTTTTTTTTTTTTTTTTTGAAAATTTATTTTGTTTCTAAGATTTTGGTAAATGTTATCGTTACAAAATAACTCACAGTATTGCTAATAACTGGATTTACTCTAAAACTGGAGTATTAACTTTTATATGTATAAAAGGGTTAGAAATGGGTTACTCAGAAATGCAAAGATAATTTTTTTGTTCTTGGATATAAAGTGCAAGTTCTCCATTGTTTTATAGGTTTGAATGATGCTAAATTTTAAAAAGATTAAATACAGTCAGACATCATTAATCCGGCCCTCAAAGCTACAAACTTTCTGCTCATGCGTCGACGCATAATGCGTCGACGCATGCGCGTAATACCTTTACGCATGCGCATATGCATGTATGCATGCGCATAATACGTTTACGCATGCGCATTCAATGTATAACAGATGGTATAAGCTAAGCTAAAATTATCTAATTATCTATTTCAGTTAATGTTGCAGATTGCGTTGTTCTTTAATCTTCGAATTGGATCCGGCTTATTATTTTTTGCAGACTGTTAGAGCAATTTTATAAAAGTAAGTTGGAACTTTCGATTAAGTTAAATAGAATTTCCGATGCTGGAGCTGCCAAAGGATCTACTATGCGAAAGCATGTTTCGATGTCCATCAAACAAAAAGTGGAATTGCTGCTGAAAAAAAAAAAAATGGATAGAGGCATATCCTTTGTTTCTGTAACCATTCCGAAATCTGTTTATCAATTTTACGCTGCTCTGTGAGGGGGGGGACGCCTTCCATCATCTTCAGGGCAGATGTTTTTATTTTATTTGGCTTACTAATGTAGTATTTCATCTCGATGTACTCCATCTTTGATATGATTTATATCAAATTCCTCGTCATTATAAATATCACAAATACACATCGAATAGTTTTGTGGTTGAAATTTTCTAATTTCGACTATGCGTAATGTATGCTTTACGCATGCGTGCGTTGAAAGAAATGTGCAATAAAGTAAACAAATAAATATTAAGTTTTTTGTAAATTTTGATACCCTTTAGATCATAATTGCTCTTTATTTCATAAATTATGGTTTCATATTTTTAGTTTTATAATTTTTGCATGCCATCTTACTAGATTTAAACTGATGATCTATAATCCAGAAAAATCGATAATCCGGAATCGCCGAAGTCCCGACGAGTCCGGATTAAAGACTTTTGTCTGTATAACATTTTAACTACTAAATAATTTTGAAATGATTTCTTTTATAGTCACATGTGAATGCAGTGTTATCTTTCTAATTTGACAGGGAAATGTTGGAGATTCGCGTGCAGTTGCTAGCGTTGCTGGCCAAGTACAGCAGCTGTCATTTGACCATAAACCTAGTAATGAATCTGAAACGAAAAGAATTGTAGCTGCTGGAGGGTGGGTTGAATTTAACAGAGTGAATGGTAAGTAGTATTTTTCATACATTTATGCAAAGCAACAACCTTATAGTTGGTGTTTATTTGAACCAACACTGTCAATGATGCAGGTCCCTCATTATCTGCTCTTCTGTTCATCCTCAAAATCAATAAGAGTGTTGGTTAAAATTTATGCCAAGCACAAGGTTGTTAGTTTTCCTGATAGTATGTTTTTTTTTTTTTTTTTTTTTTTTTTTCATATTTCTCTTCTCTCTTGAAGTTTGGTTTTTATTTAAAATTAGCATCTGATATTCCAATTAAAGTTTTCAAAATTTGATTTGTTATTTTAGGTAATTTGGCTCTTTCAAGAGCTTTAGGAGATTTTGTTTTTAAGAAAAATGAAAAAAAACCACCTGAGGAGCAAATTGTGACAGGTAAATCTTTTCTATTGAAAATTTTCTGAGGAACTATTCAAATTTATTACACATACAACTTTCAGCCTACATCAAAAATAGTTTCTTGAAGTGTAAATACAAAAAAAAATTGAAGGAATTGCTTTATAAGGTATTAATTTTCATAATCATTATCTGCATATAATTCATGTTAGGAATATGTTCAGCAGAGGCCTTCCAAAATTTTTGTGCCTTTGTCTTACATTACGCGACTATGCATTTATCGTCAGTGCAGTTTGTCAGGTACTGCCATTACTCAAAATAGACCTGGGACCAGCATTTTCAGCACTGTAACTGATAAGTATAGCTGTTATCTTCTGCAGTTTAAACATTAATATTTGAAATGAAATATGCTTTTATTTAGTTGTTGCTTTTAAGAACAACTTGAATGTTGCCCTAGGTAGATATGTATTTCTAGTCCTGGTGCATTGCATTAATGTTCATTAATCACTCCTACGTGGAACAGTGTGCGCACCAGGGTACCTAGGTGACGAGATCGCACCCCTAATCAAATAAAAGTGAACTATCATAATAAATATCAAAGACATAACTGGAATACATTTAAGTAATTTTCTTTTTTGAAGAATAAATTATATAGTACAAAGTCTGTAATCCGTGTTTCCGGATTAGGGGTTTTTCTGGATTATATATAGATCATCAGTTTAAATCTGGTAAGATGGCATGCAGAAATTATGCAATTAAAAATATGAAACCGTAATTTATGAAATAAAGAGTAATTTATGAACCTGTCGACTGTGGTCAGAGTTGTGTATGAAAGTCAAAAAATAGAATGAGACATTAAAGATATGACATACCTTTATTTTTCCACATAGGTACCAAGTACATTGAGACATTTGTCATATTGCTTGATAAGCTTCAAAAAGCCCTCCAGGAAAAAATCAGGGCTTTGCATATGGAAGAAGCGTTGAACGGCTTGCTTCACTTCAGTATTGCTTCCAAAGCACCTTCCCCCGAGATTTTTCTTCAAAGCCGGAAACAGATGGAAGTCGCTTGGTGCGAAATCAGGACTGTATGGCGGATGGTGTAGGCGCTCCCAACCAAGAGTTGCAATATGGTTTTGCGTTCCCGCCACCGAATGTGGTCTGGCATTGTCATCCAACAGCAGAACGCTAGATGTGAGAAGGCCAGGCCACTTTTTCCGAATGGCCTCTTTCAATTTCGACAGGGTATCACAGTAGTGCGTAGCATTGATGGTTCCAACCTCCAAAAAGTCCAGCAACAAAACTCCTTGGCCGTCCCAGAAAACTGTGAGGAGCACTTTACCTGCAGAGGGAGTTGTCTTGAACTTCTTTCGGACAGGTGATGACGGATGTTTCCACTCCATAGATGCGGCCTTCGATTCTGGCGTGAAATGGTGGACCCACGTTTCATCCCCCGTCACAATCCGAAACAGAAAGTCATTGCCATCTTCATGCTAACGCACGAGATGTTCCAGGCTACTTCATTTGATGGTGATACGCCGGTTCGCTCTAATCATGTCATCCACCTTCCTGACATTTGCATCTGTAGTTGCCGTGCGTGTCCGTCCAGCTCTCGGTATGTCCTCCACTTGCTGACGTCCATCACTGAATGTGCGACACCATCTCCGCACCATTTGCTTCGACATCACACATGGCCCATAGACTTCCACGAGGCAATTATGAATTTCTGTTCCTGATACTCCACGTGCCCGTTCATAGCGGATAACCGCTCTCACTTCCTCCTTTGACCACGAATTCAAAACGCACCTTCTCTCCATACCTACCGGGGCTCAAATGAGAGGCTGGTCTCCGCTTTGTGCAGGCACTGTAACAGTGCCATCTGCTTGATTTGCAGCGACCTCTACCCAATGGTGTATCGGTGACTTGCGCGTTTTTCTGCTGTGTCGCCTTTCGCCCATAGCCGTTCAAAGCTTCTTCCATATGCAAAGCGTGAATTTTTCTTGAAGGACTTTTTGAAGCTTATCAAGCAATATGACAAATGTCTCAACGTACTCATACGAGAATAATAAAATAAAGGTATGTCATATCTTTAATGTATCATTCTATTTTTTGACTTTCATACACAACTCTGACCACAGTCGACAGCGGAAACTTATTTTTCAATTTACCTACGTACATTCAGTGTATGCACTAGTTCATTACGTGAGTTCTTATCATTAATAAAGTGATCTTTATGTTCTGGTAGGCTAGCTTTTTGATTTAATCAGTGACGATAAGGTCTTTCAACTTATCAAAAGTGCTCACTTCTAATTCTGAAAGTCATCCCTTGAAAAAGCTTCCGATTTAAAAGTAAAAGTTCATCAGTTGTTATAAGGGTTCTTCTTATTTTGACAAAACAATTGTCTAATTTTGTCAGTTACATATCTTTAACATATCAGTAATTTTAAGGTTCCTCTTCTGATTCTTTTGTGATAATTTTGCGACTTCAGTCAATAGCACTCCAATTAAATACGCCGCCTATTTTGCTTCAAGTATTAAAAAACATTTCATTATGTTTAAGATATTTTTTAATAAAGGTTCATATTATGATGTTTGGGATCAAAGAGATCGATTTAAATTCCCACTTTAGAAGATTAAAATCCAGCAAAGAAGTAGATTCTATTTAGGAAACCTTTTCCTGAGCTTCTAAATTGAGTTTTTGAAACTCAAAAATTCTTTTCCTTTCAGCCAGTCTTTGAGCCTTTTAGCCATTCTTTCTTCCACTTTTATCTTTTCTTTTGTTTGTTAGAGTTGTCAGAAGGATTTTACCAAACTCCTTCTTGTAATTTTTTTTTTTTTTTTTTTTTTTTTTTTTGCTTTTTAATGATTTCTTTAAATTCTGAAAATTTTTGTTTTAGGCCAAAGACCTCACCTAGCTCCTCGGCTCAAATTTAAAGATCTTGCTTTTCCAGGAATGAATTTCCAGGAATGACTTGTGAATAAAAGTTACTCTTAATATATTCCAAAATTACATAGCAAATAACTAATATTTTTTAGCTAATACAGTATGTCTGCACCTGCCTAATAATATTACACAAGATTTATGTTTTAGGCATTTGAAAAGCATAAAGTAATATGGTTCACAGTAAAAAAGGGGGGGTTCTTTGCCTTATACTTATTTTAGTGTTTAAACACAATACACATTTTGAATGCTTTAAACATGATTCAGTATTTATTCTAAACTACAGCTTGGTCTACACAAGTAATATTTTATGCAAAATTAAAACAGTATATTCAAATCCAAGCAGTACTTTACCAAGTTAATATCCAATAACTTGAAAATCTTTAATCATAGCACACAAATAATATTTTATCTAAAATCAAAATAATGATTTGTTCAAAATAAATATATTCATCAAATTAATAATCTTTTATCTGAAAATCAAAGTAAACATAAAAACAAAACACTTGTGTGTTTACTTATATTAAATTTACTACTTCTAGTTTTACTTCTCATTACCATAATAGTATCAGGTAATTACAACAAAAATAATTATAACAATGAAAGCTTTTTTTCACTTACATCTATATTTTTTTTCAACAGAATAGGGTGTTCTTTCAATCATAAAAACTACTATTCTCTTAAAAAGCTGTTTATTTTAAACTGTAAGTAACAAAATAAAGTGGTCAAGATAAACTAATAAGTGTGAGCCAGAATTGATTTTTCTTAACATTAATAATTCATAAATTAAAACACTTAGAGCTGCAAGTCGAATCTAAAAAAAAAATTGGGGAACGTCGTAACTTGAACAGCCATGCAATTAAGTGTCAGTTTTGTAACATGAAAAGTATCCTTTTTTTCGTAATAAAGACTCCATAAATAATCCTTAAAATAATTACTTTTGAACACACCATAAAATGGTTACAAACAGTTAGATTACACTCACAGTGGATTACATATTCTTATGGCAATTTGCTTCCAGAGGCTATTTTTGTATATTGCCAGCTGGGCAGGGTCCGATAGGAAAGGGGGGCTTTTCTCATCTTCCCATTTTTTAAACTTAGGGAAAGGAGAGAAAATTCCCTCAAGAAATTCAATCTCAAAATGAGGGAAGAAGGTTATACAGTATTTTTGATTCGTAACAAATCTTTATTGTATTTTTAATAATATATCTCATTGGTTAATTTAGAATACATTTAATATACAGGGTGTTTATAAAGTCCTGGACCTAATAACTCATAAAATAATGAAGATATAAACAAACTTATGGCATTTATTGATGGAATAAATTATATATTTTTCTTTTAAGGTTTGAATATCTTTACTTTTGTAAATATTGTCTGCACATGTGGTTAATTTCAGATAATTTCATTTTCCAGTCTAAATATCTGTACTTTTCTAAATATCGTCTGCTTATTAATTGCATTTTTCTCTCTTTTAATGTGCGCATATAGGGATCTGAAAACTCTAATGAATACCATGAGGCACAAAGGCATTCCCCAAAGGTTAATGTGTGGTGTGGACTAATGCACGGCCGAGTCATTGGGCCTTTCTTTTTTACAGAAAAGACGGTCTCATCAGTCATATACTTAGACATGTTGGAAAACTTTGTATTTCCACAACTAGAAGAGCTTCAGCCACATGTCTTTTTGCAACAAGATGGTGCACCACCTCATTGGGATTACCATCGTTCGTAGTTTTTTGAATGACCATTTTACAGGAAGATGGATTGGGCGAGAAGGTATGATTCCTTGGCCACCCAGATCACCTGATATAATGCCGCTGGGCTTTTTCCTTTGGGGATTTGTAAAGGGCAACGTTTATAGGAGGAGAGTGTCGAACATTCATGACCTAAAAGCCAGAATTAGAACCGCAATAGCCTCTGTGGATGCCGACATGCTTGCCGGGACCTGCTGTGAAATTGAATATCGACTTGATATTCTCCGTGCGACGAAGGGGGGCACACCGTGAAGTTCATTTGACAAGGGTCATGAAACTTTTTTAGTCTATCTAACCATTTATGTTATTAATTTTAATGTATCTGTATTATTTTATGAGTTATTAAACATCAAAATGGGTCCGGGACTTTATAAACACCCTGTATAATATGTCTAGTTGATCTTTTTAAAACATTTCCTATCCAATAATAATTAATAAAAATATTTTAATGTTTCTTTATGTCAAGGGAGACACTGGCATAATTTTTGTGCTGTATTTCTCTTCTTTCCCCCCCCCCAAAAAAAAAGGTTTAAAATAAACTTTTTTGTATATATTTTATTTTAGTATTCAAATTTATCCAATAGTTTAACACAACTATTACATATCTTGATACAGATCTTTTAATGTCCCCTCTCCTTGTATAAAAATGTAAGTTTTAAAATTACTTGGCATTATATTATTATTATTATTATTTTATTTATTTATTTATTTTTTGCATGTATCAATATATGTGTGCAAATCTTAATATCATGTTTAGTATATTTTTCTCTGACATAAATGTTAATCTACACAGCCTATCCTGATGTTGTTGTTAAAGATATAACTCCAGATCATGAATTCATTGTCCTTGCTTGTGATGGAATTTGGGATGTTATGACAAATGATGAAGTAGTTGATTTTGTAAGAACTAGAATTTCTGCAAAAATGGAGCCAGAGCAAGTACGTTTGCATCTAATAATATAAATTCATTTTAATTTTTTTTATCATGATATTTCATGATATCTTTGATATTTCTGATCTTTTTTGAAAAACTCTTGTGTAATTTGTTTTCAGTACTTCTTTGTTATAGCACCTCCTGAAATTGAGTTGCCAATCAACCAAGATATCTCCTCAAAATCTCGGTACATAATCGTATATTAGCTCTGTGTTGTACTTTTGCTGTCGCTGTGTGTTCTTATATTATTCATTTTTGATGAGGTTTTCGAATTTGCAATGTTTATTTAAAAATATATTAATTTATTTTTTTATTTTTTTCAATTTATTAAGCAATGAGGTGGATGCCATATTAGTTTTTCAAGAAAGAGGTCTTGACAAATGAGTATATGAAAATGGCTACAGCATGAAACTTTATGTTAACGAAGAAACCATTTAAAGTTGTAGTATTAAAAATTGCAAAAAGAAGAAGGGCCTCTGTGTTGGCAATTGGTTCAGCAGTTCCAGAATATTGTTCGTCACTGCTATTAGATTTATGTGTTCTTGGGCAGAGAAGTTGAAGTCCATGAAATGGTATAAGACAGTGGTCGTCAACCCTTAGAACTTCATGGACCACTAATATGAATTAAAAAAAAACTTAAATCAGACCTTTAAAACAACATACTGTGGCATGTGTACAGGTTCATTGAGAATTGAATGCACAAGTCCAATTTAAAAAAATAAGATTTATTATTATCACAACAAATAAAACAAAATGCTTGTATTTCCTCAGCTATTTGTACAATATCTCACAGTAGTTTTCTTTTAAACTACTAAAAACGTTCAAGAGAACTTAACTCAAAACGGAGAAATGTAAAGAAAGCTAATCCTTGAATTTGCTGCAGTAAACAACCGCAGTTTTATAAACAAAAGTTATAAAACAACTACAAACTAAGACGTTTTCATGCTGCCTATGTAAGCTTTTTAAATGCACGAGAATTTTCTGGTATTTTCTCGACATCAAAAAGATATTTATTTATTAAATGCACATGCTCTTGTATTTTTAATTTTCCGGCTTAGTTTTCTCTTAATATTCATCACGCGCTGCATAAAACAATTTAATTTATAATTCTCCTAATATAAGCTATTTAAATACCAAATCTGTACAGTATTAATACGCAAAACAATATTCAACTTTCTAACACATGTAATTCTAATTCTCATTTGTTGTATAATTTTTGAAACATTTGGTGTTCAGCAGCATGCCTTTATGGAAAATTCAGGCTACGCCCTTGATTATGAGTAACAATTAAAACACTATTAACATCTCACTGATACACATATTTCATTCACATTGGAAAATTATATGAAAAGTACAAAAATCTTACCTCCTTGTACAGAAAGCTTCAAATTTCTATATCACTGAAAAAGGAACTTCGTGAAAAGCAAGAACAAACCGGCAAATGCAAAGCAATATCAATAACTGAAAGTGTTATGCCGCCAATTTTTAATTATTGTAAAGATAATAATCATTGCTTATTCCACATTGGCGCCATCGATCAACAATCAGACAAAATAAAGACGGAAACTTCCAGTGAGGCAATTATAAAGAAGAATGCAGATGGTTCTCATAAAAATCCATCAAGTTGCTTATTGACATCGAGAAAAACTGTGTTATTAATGACTACAAGAGCATGTGTTTGTAATTCTAAAGCAAACAGAATTCCATTATTGATAACAGCAGCATATTCATGGATACTAACTCTTTCTTCCTAATGTTTCTACATACACCTGCAAAAATAGCTAAAAAGTCACTAAATTCAGAAGTAATTTCGCTAAAATTAGTAGCTAAAATCTTTAAAAAAAAAGTATAATCCATATTCCATAACAGGTTTTGTTACTTGTCATTTTTTAAACTGAATCTTCATAAAAATATAAATAATGTCCCAATTTTACTGCGGACCATCAAAAAGTTTTCACGGACCACCAGTAGTCCGTGGATAAGTAAAGCATGAAAATTTGGATTGTAGTTGGGCAACGTATATCATTTAGTGGTTAGGGGAGCCTACTGTGGTACCAAAAAGACCAGGTTTGAATCTTGGAGAAGGCATGGTTGTAACTGTCCGTCCTTTTACAGGAGGCAACGGTGGCCACCTGTTAGGTGCCTCCATAATAAAATGGCCACCACTTTTGGACTTAGGATTGGTTAATGCTTAGTAGGCAAGTGCCTGCCACTGAATTAAAAAAAGAAGTTGGTATTGGTGACAGATATAAGCAGACATAAGTGTTGCATGAAGATTTTGCTTTGGTTCTATTCCTTGCTGCTAAATGGTCTAGCTGCAGGAAATTTTCATATTTTTTTTAACTTATTTCTTTTTCAAAGACTTAAAAGCATTCCTTCTCACAGTCAACTAGTGCATGAGAGCAACCAGTTTCTTAAACTTTTCATAGAATATAGCCTTTATTATTGTCTAATAGTTCACTGTTATGTGTATGTCTGTGCTATCATCCTAAAAATAATTTGATTAATTTCATAAGAATACAAAAAGACCTAAATATTACTCATTCAGTAAATGCAACTGATGTAAAGATTACAAATATTTTTATCATTTCTTTTGCTAAATCTGTAAAATGTGTTTAATCTGTAAATAGTATCCCGATTGTCACAAGAAATTTAGGTATAAGGATAGAAGATTAAGTGTGCTTCTTTTAACTTAAGAATTTTGTATGTTTAAGTAACTTAGACAGCAAAAATGTGTATCATTTTGCATGATTGTATGTAAAATTGTAAGCAAACAGTGACTTAAAATAAACATTTAAGTAATCATAAGCAATAAATCTAATGAATGAATCTTATGAATAGTTTAGATTCCATGTGCATATACTCATTTAATATATATTTTCCTACTGAAAATTGGTCATTTTGAGGCCTTAAGAGATGGTTTGAATGTAGGGAAATTATAAAATAGCACTGTAATGATAGATATTTTTTTAACCGCATGTCTTTAGCAATTTGGTGAATTTTTATTATTATCATTATTTATTTATTTTAAATCTTCATGCAACTTGAAATTTGTAAATTCATGTATTTTTCCTCGGAAATATTGAACATTCATATTTTTTATTTATTTTTTTTTTTAATTGACAGCTCACTTATTGAACATCAGTGGTCTTGTGAAACAGCTGAAATTTTGTTATTGTTATATTAGTCTTATCAATCTCAAAATTATTTCTGAGTTTATGCTTATTATTTTTGTAGAGTTTAAGACTGGTTTAGAGATCAACACAGATGTAATACCATACACCAGTCTCTGTCTGTATTTAGATTTAACGTTTTCTTTGCTGAAATGCTGCTTTGTACCAGTGGAGTGTTAAAAGTCTTTAAACTTGAAATTTATATATGTATCGTAAAGTAAACCACAGCAAAGCACTGTGTGACATGCTTCATGCAATCTTGTGTTTTTTGCATGGCATACGGGAGACAGTGGCATGATTTTTCTGCTAGTATTTCTCAGCTCTTTTCACAAAAAAGATTAAAAGCAGCTTTTTTCCTGTAAATTTTGTTTCAGTATTTAAATTTACAAAATATTTGAAAAACATTGACTTAACTGTTATGTGTAACTTCTCACTCCCTTGAAAAAAAATCAAAAAGATTAAAATCAACAATTATTATTCTTTAAATGTAAGGTGTATGTATTCAAACATTCTAACCTTAGCTTTTGTTAAACAAATTTTAATAAGTGTGTGTCTTGCACAAACTCCGAAGAATTTCTTGAAAACATGTCACTTCTGCTTGTATTTTAAGTTTACAATTAAACTGTTTTGATTTTTAGGAAGAAAGTTATAAAAAAATAGTGTCATTAAAATATATTGTTTAATAAATGTGAAATTAATTGTGTAGAAACTATAAAAAAGTTCTCTTGAGAGTTTTATAAAACTCCGAATTTATTTTTACCAAGTTCAGTGGTTCTCAGACTTTTCCAAGTCGTGGTGCCTTTTTTTCAATTAAAATTTTTCCAATATGCCCTAACCTAAATAAAAATATAATTAATCATACGTAAGAGATTAAAAAAAAAACTCATGTATCTTCATTATTTAATTTTTTTAACTTTATTAATATTCAATTAATAATCAGTGGGATGGGTGAGTCTGCAAATAACTACGTATTTTCTCAAAATTTGAGATGAAGTGGACACATCCACCCACATTTCCTTTTCCACGTTAATTTTTGCTCTGTACTTGCTTTTTATTACAGTGATTGTTGAAAACCAAGCTTCGAACAAATACAGCATCGAAAATGGAATTAAATTTGCTTAACCTTATCACTTACAAGGAGATATTCATCTTTTATTGAAATTTAAAATTCTGTCAATTCCATGCTGCCAAATTTTGCTTTCAAACCGTTGTCACAAGATTTCTCAATAAGATTCTCTTCCGCAAAAGTAAATTCAGGTGGAGCACTAATGTTAAATGGATCTTGAATCCATGCAAACCTATTACAATTTTCATTTTGAAAGTATTTCTCAAACCAGATAATTAGCTGTGATAAGTGCCTCTGAAACACATGGTTCTTATACCTTAAGAAAGATAAAGTTTATTTGATGTCACGGTTTGCTGCAATATGAAAATGTAATCTTTGCTGGCATTTTCATACAATTTTCTTCTCTATAGTTTGAGGTTTTTTTTTTCTTTCCCCCCCCCTGAGGTGATATTTTTTCCATTGATTGTAGATGCATGTTTTTTGCTTGAAGAGAGATTAAAAGACTTCAGCTTTTCAGAAATGTCTCATAAATATGCCAGTTTTATTAAAACATCAGGATCAGCAAAATCTTCTGCATCTTTGTATCTAAATAAAAAATTCTTGCTGCCTTTCAGAGGTATATGATAAAACATTACCACAGGAGAGCCATCGTACACTGCTGTAATGCAACAAAAATGAGTATTCACCTCCCATAGTCTCACACAGTTTTTAAAAAAATCCTTGCTTTCAATGGAAGAGATTTTCTAAAATCTACCATATTCTAACACCTGATTCAGTGGAAGACTCGGATGCTTTGACGCCAGCATGTCTCTATGAATAATGCAATGTCACATTGCATTTGATGATTTGCTCTTGATTAAGTACCTGTAATCCTTCATAGCAACCAGACATGAAGCAAGCTCTGTGAATACTGATACCAATGCACTTGGGCCAATTTAAATTATTTTCAGATATGAATGAATTAGAAATCTTGAACAGGTTCTGACCTTTGCTCCTGCAGTAATATGTTTCCAATACAGATGGTCTTCTTTAATATTATTACCATCTATAAACCGTACATAGCTTATCAAATGAACATCTGTATTATTATCCGTAGCCTCATCTAGCTGTAATCCAAATGCCACTCCTTTTATTTTTAAAATTAATTGATCCTCCACCATGTGTATATGTTGATATCCTCCACCATGTGTTGTATTCTCTGACCAATTGTGTTATTGGATAAAGCCACTTTTAAAAGCAACTTTCTAGCAGATTCGCCAACCATGATGCAGCAGCCAGTAGAATATGTTCTTCTGCACTGGCATGAGGCTTATTAGATTTCATGATTCTGTAAGTCACCTTGCAAGATGCTAGGAAAGCATTGTTAGGTATTAATTCAGTCATGCATTTTAAATTTTTTTTTTTTTTTTTTTTTTTCAGTTCTTTTAACTTCCTAGGAAAAATGCTCAAGATTTGCTGGGGTGATTAGCTTTTAAATGGCACTTCAGTTATCTTGGAAGCATACTCTCCGTGGCAAAAACTTTCATACACAGTACACATTGTGGTCTCTCTTCATTTCTCAACATTCATTTCTGATGTAAAACCAAACTCTAAATAACTATCATCATATTTATGATATGACACTCATGCCATTGGTTGAAGACATACTTTCTTTATCTGCACAATTATATTTCTTACTGTTCCAAAATTGGTTCATCATCAAAGATACAACAGGAAAAATATCACAAGACTATTTATCAAAGACAACAAACAAGAAGTTATATAACACTAATCATACTACATATCTATATTAATGGTCAGCCTAAGTTGAGAACACTGGATATAGTATAAAGTGGAAAACATAGTTCTATAACGTCCACCATAAAATATAGTTCTGCCACTTCGAGATGTCATATTGTAAAAATTACGCTATGAAATATAAATATTGTGTAGCTAAGAGAACAGAATGAAAAATAAATAGATTACATTGCATCCAGCCTTATATTTAAAAATTTGCCAATTTCATATCAATCATTCGATGACCAGTAGGAAAACATCCCTTTTATTAGCATTATTAGATTAGTAAAACTACAAATTCCTGCAATCCCAACCTCACCCCACTTTCAATGAAAAAAGCAATTAAAGCATTCTCTCATTCACTGAGCAGGAAGAGAAGAAAGCAGTTGTTATGATGTCTGCTTCAGTGTTAATATATATATACAGTTTCAAAACTGCTACGCGGTTGTTCCACTAAGATTATCATTGTGAATGCTTTTGTCAAATTATGGGAGCATTTTCCTATTAAATAAAGTAATGAAATTGTTACTTTTGTTGGTGATGTGAGTGGCGTTTCTGTGACATCGACTCCTGGGGGGGGGGTGACCTCAGAAATTCGGTATGTGCAAATCCAAATCGAACATCATGATGAGCTGACTTTAGCAACAATTCATTTCACCATTTATTTTTATGAACTATACCATGAAAAGCTAGTCCTAACCTTCTACGTGTTCTCAGGTTAGATTGTTGTAATACATAGCGAGATCGAGAAGGCACGGTATTACCAGCTCACATTCGCAAGAATATTCTGTGCTGGCTTCTTTTCTTTTATACATTGTCAAGTGAAAACATACCACACAAGATCTCTTGACATTTGTAGCTTTTCACCTTTTTTTTTTTTTTTTTTTTGGTGAGGCTAAATGTCTCGGTTCTATTAATTTTGAAGCTTTTACAACATTTTACGGTGCCCCTTTGAAGAGGCCACTGTTTCCAGGGGTGCCGCAGCACACAGTTTGGGAACCATTGCTATAGTTCATTAGTTTTATTTGAAGTAAGAATCTGTAAATTCTCCAGTATTACGAAAGGCATAACTGAAAGTTTGCAAAAACAGTTTACCAAATAATCTAATTGTTCATTTAGTATGGGGAACATAAAGCAGTGTTTTATTTAAGATTTTTTAATACATATGTAATTGAAGTATAGGTTGTTGTTGGAATTATTTGCACTGTTTTGTTAGTGGATGTGTTCAAAATAAGGGTTTCTGTAATGAAAATGTATGTTTTTATATGCAACAAATCTGTATAACATTACAAGTACATGCATGTGTTAAATAGGATGTATGTATTGTTTTTTTATTACAGAAAGTGTTGAGTCAAAATTTAAAAAGAAAAATTGTTTTTAACTTTTTATATGCGTTTTGTGGAATGTATAATGATGTTTTTCTTTCAGTATTCATTGATTAATTCTTTGTTTTTCTCCTCTTTATTCAAAGATATGTGAAGAACTCATGACACGATGCTTAGCTCCTGATTGCCAGATGGGTGGTTTAGGATGTGATAATATGACAGTTGTTCTTGTTTGCTTATTGCAAGGTGAATCATATGAGGAACTGGCCAATAAATGTTCTAGAGTTTATACTTCCCCTCATGATGCTACTTTGGTATTGTCAGAATCATCTGCATCTGATGCAGAGGATGAATGTGATGAAGATAGCAGTAAATCAGATAACATTCATCAACGTGATGAGTTACGGGACTGTAATATATCAACAAATAGGCCATCAACAGTAGTATCATCCAATCTTACAGACAAACAACCTCCTACTTCACATCTGACTGGCTTAGTTCAAATGGACAATTCTGTAAGAGAAGGAGGGGAACTCGCTATAGCATAAGTATATTTAGCCTTAAAAAAAGAGAGAAAAATGTAAGATATGTAGGTAATTTCTGCACAAATGGATATTTACTGTACATAATAAAATATGTTAATGCCTGGAAACTTTTTAACTTGGGCACAAAAAAAATGTATACAACATATGATTTATAATTTTTTCATGTATTTTTTCTTGTCAAAAAATTGAATGCTTTAGTAAATTCAGTTGCAGGAAATTTAAAATTTTCGAGATTTTATTTGTTAGTTGCCTATTTTTTTAATTTATGAGTATGTAACAAGAATTTCTTTCAACATTTTATGAGATTAAAATGATTTTGAATCATTTTTTTTCCTCCTTTCTCTTGCTGTATGTGTGTGAAATTAAAATTATCTAGATCTATAGAATGCAGAAATTCTGAGTTGAGATACATGTGTGTTTTATGTGTTTATTACTTACCTTTTTAGAAATATATACTGTGTTTTAGGGAATTACATATGCAGTAAATCTGTTGATGCTGTGATTTAAAAGTATTGTTCATGTTTTGGATTGTCATATTAAAATATTTATGGCTTGACTTTGTATGACAATTTATACATAGTTAAATGTGTATTATTTATATTTTTGGTATGTTAATATGGCCCATTATATCTTATATTGTCATTATATCCTGCTGCTTTTAAAATATCAAATTTCACTGATTTTGAGACTTCAATGCTTTTGCTTCATAATTTTTTCATGGTTGTAATGGGCGTTTTACATGTTACAAAAATGGTACTTCTTCCTTCTTGCATTAGTGACCCTCCGAAGAATTAAAAATTTCATGAAAATTCTCATTGGTGTCAGCCATTCAAAGAAACATTGCTTTAGAAGTATTCAGTATTTGATTAAATTTTTGTCTGTTGTAACCAAAAGATGCGAGATGTGCATTTAGAAAGGGGGAAAAGAAAGAAATTGAAAATTAAAGAAATTAAAAAATCACGATCTCGGAAAGAGCTGGAAATCTTATGTTTTTTTGTTCTAGAACTAATTATTTTGGAAGTTATTGTCTTGTGCGTTTTGCTCGAACATTTTTTAAAAGTAGAGGTATTGTATTTCCTTGTTAAATTGGATCCTGCATGAAGCTTTGATAGCTAATTTGATAAGGAAACATCAAGTATGATTTTAAAATCTACATAAGTCAGGCATCATAAAATCATAATAAGTTATAAAAGTATTAAAGTAAAAGTGTTAAGTATTAAAGTAGTAAATTATTTTTTTTTTCTTTTTGTCAGTTAAGGAATTATCTTCACTTTGGTAATAAAGTTAGTTTTTCAATGCCTTGTTTTACAGGTTGCCCAAAGAAACTAATAATTCAAATGCAATCTTAGTCTTTTTGTTTTAAATAACCTAATTTTTATATCAAGAGGTGCACTAAGATTGGCAGCTCAGTTTTCTGTTTGAAAGCCATTTGCTCAAAGCTGGAGTTTTTTTGTGTAATTATGCAATAATACTTTTATAAGTAATTCATAATGTAAAAAAACAGTTTGTTTCATTTAAGTTGATTGATAACCTATTTCTGTGTACTCTTTGTAAAAATGTACTATTTCCATGTATGTCTATATACTTCAGACTAAATTGGGTTAAGAGTGAGAATTTCCCATGAGTCAAATCACATGAAGTGTCAGCTTATGGAACAATAACCAAAAACACTCAGCATCTCACCCATGCTCGTTCTATTTATCATAGATATATTAAAGGATATAAATTATCCCAAATTTATTTAATTTAATAATTTAAAAGTTTGGGGGAAATCAGGCAACAGGAACCAAGTAGCCAAGGAAAAAAAAAAAAAAAAAAAAAGGTAAAATAAAGCAATTAAACAAATTAGAATGCAGGGTCCCCTGTGAAAACCCCCTTCCTCTTATGCAGGTAGGACTTGTGATTTCGTAATATTTAAGTAACATAACGTTCACTGGACTGCAATTCTGGGTGCAACAACAGTGCAAAAACCAATAAAAGATGACGAACATGATTTAAGCTATCCATTCCAGCTGCAGTTGACGAAGCAGATGGGTTGTTTGCGTTAGCTTTTATACTTTTATTTTGTGATTAAACTTGGTTCCAGTTTGTTGTCCTAATGTATTTTATCCCATTTTTAATTTCCTTTTACCTGCAAGTGCCAGTTAACTTAGTTAACATAACTGGTGTTCGTCTAAGTAAAGGAAACAAAATTTTCCTCTGTTACATTAATCCCTGTTATATCTATATTACCATTAACAATTTTCATTTTTATTCTCATAAAAACAATAGCCTTTTTTTATAAAATTTTAAGACTATTAAACTCAGGACATAAATCTATTGCATTCTGCATTAAAGGACATAAAAGTGCTCAGTAAAGTGCCTAATGTTTCTAATAATATTATACTTTTTGCATATGTTAGAGCCTTGGAAGTGAATTTTATTTGTGTAAATTTAGAACTAACAATTTGATTCAAGGGTTCCTAGCCTTTTCATTAATTTGTGGATCTCCTGATTCCCAACTTTAAGTGTGTGGACATGTAATATGTAATATTTCTAAATGAAATATTTATTTTGTCAGATACTAAAAAGCTACAAAAGAATAAACAGTCTAACAAACCTAAATGAAATATTTGTAAATATTAAAAGTTAATAATAAGTTATTTCATTATTATACAAGAAATGTTAGTTACAAATTTTTAAAATTTTAACTGATAAAAATGAAACCTATTTTTATATACAGAAATATAAAAATAAAATACTGTTTTAAACAACATATACAAATTTATTTTTAAGACTATTAACTAGGTAGGCAATATTAATGAATTATATTATGACCCTGAGAATAATCTTAATATTTACTATTTGTGCAATTTTCTTCAACTTTAAGCATCAGAAAATGAATATTGAAAAGGAAAGTGTAAAATAAATGTTTAAAAAATGTATAAAACTTTAAAAATGGATTTAAAATTAATATTTTTGATTTTCTTGGAGGGAGTTCAGCTGCACTGCTGCTCATCCCTGGAGGCACCAGTGCTCGTAAGTAATCATGGAAAATTAGTTTGCTAGAATAATGACATTCACTAGCACAAGTAATAAATTTTACCATAAAAAACCTGTTTATTAATGATATTTTATAATGAACCCTTTAGTTCATATTATGGATGCCCCCCCCCTTTTTTTTTTTTTTTTTTTTTTTTTAAAATGATTTAAACCAGTATCGTAATTTCTCACGTATGAGTTTCTTTGGATAGTCTCGGTTTTTCTTTAATGTCCCTTTTGAATCCATTCTTCAGTAAGTTTGTTTTTCATTCATGTTATTCTTTTTGAACCTGGAATATTGTAATAAGCTGTGCACTTGGTGATGTAAGTTTTAATCAAGAGATTTAGCCTCCTCAGTCAATGCATGATCTGTGTGGCTACTGTAAAAACTGATATTAGCTTGAATCCAGAACAGTTTTAAATTATGTTTTTTGCTTGGTTCTTTCCCTTTTTTGTTTTGTTTGTTTGTGACACTGTATGAAGTAATTTATTTCAATGTGTTGCACTCTGGAGGACGCCAGTGGTGCCAGTAGTACATCCATCATATATATATAACATATTCTAGGTTTAACATTGAAATGAGCAGAGATCCAACCACTAAGTATGTTCTAGTGCACCTAGTTGAGCTTGATATAGAGGGTTAATAATTTGTATCATATAATGTTTAATATTGATTTCCAGGCAGTAAAATTAAACCATAAATGCACAATCTATATCATTCTCATGCCCAGAACCATAAGTATAAATCTCAGTTTTACTAGTTTTGAGAAATAATTTGTCAAACTATATACCTTGTCTTTTTGCCAGGCATTACAAATTTCTTCCACATCTAAAACATAATTATTTAATGTAGTTTAAATTGCAATTTTAAGAGGTGAAATACCAGCCAATATGAAAATAACTTTATTTGAGCCAGGCGAGAAGACTGGTGGTCGTGAGCATCCAACTTTTGTGCAGTGTGCCTGATTTCATCTAAGCCAGGGGTTCTTAACCTTATTCCCCGTCTGGGCACATCTGACAAACAGGAAATGCTGGCAGGCATAGTATGCAATCATAAGCATCATAAACAATACCATACATTAAAAAGGTAACAAAAAATTCAAAATAGTACTAATATAGTATATAGCAGACAGTCGCAGGCACGGGGTTAAGAACCCTTGATCTAAGTCATATTAGCGTCTCTCTTTATATAACTATTGGGATGTTAACATCATTCAGGATATTCTGAAGGGGGTACTTTTGTTGGCCAGCACACAGTAAAAGTTCTTTTACAGTATTTTAAAATTCCATCTATTGTTTTATTTTATAAATATGAAATGTTCTATAAAATTCAGCTTCTCATCTAGAATTACAACAAAGTTTTTAAGTTTAATAAATTTAATTTTATGATAATTAAGCTTCAGCTCAGGTGGCCTGTTTAACTTGCCACCCTAAGGAGAAAAACAAGACAAAACTTTCTCAGTGTTAAATCTAATTCCTTTTTTATGTTACTGTTATACACTTTATTAAGAATAAATCCAATTTTATTAAAAATGTGATCAGTTTTTTTTTTCCTTCTCCTAGTGAGGAACTGTAAATTAACAGCAATATGGCATCAGCATATCAAAAAATTTTTGTATTTGGCACATTAATTTTATCAATAAATTTATTTGTGATAAGGCTTCAGAACATAGTGACACTACAGCAACCCTGTAGGCATTTTTTTTTTTTTTTTTTTTTTTAACTTTGTAAATATCTTCTTCAATTTCAGTTAAATAAATAGATATTATATCATTAAAATAATTTACCAAAAGCTCATATAAGAAATCTACATTTTTTAAAACAGAGAGCAAGAGCAAGAATGACCATATGATGCAGTCAAAGGTGCCATAGCTGTATACAGAACCTGATATGTGATCTCTTTAAGAATGGATATCATTAGGATTTTTTTTTTTTTTTTTTTTTTTTTTTTTTTTAAAGTTTTGAGAAAGACACTGAAGCATTTATTGTATAGAATCAAAAGAAAATGAAGGCTATTCTGTGTATAAAATTTTTAATAAATGTATCTGCAATATCATGAGCGCACTCCTAGTTTTTGAACTTCCAATTCTATTAATGTAAACATTTACTCTGTTTAAAAATTGTATCCTGGTAAGTGTTTTTTCCCCCATCCTGCAGTCTTCTTTCCGAATAAAGTTTTATTTACCAGTTCAGTATATAATTCTTTATGAAAAAAAAGTTCTAATGTGTCATATTTGCTGGTCAAGATTTTTATCTTTATCTGAACATTCAGAAGTGATTATAGTTGTAATTTTTATTCAGTTTGACTAGTGAAAATATAAAATTCTTGATGTTGAAATTAAAAAAAAAAATTATAATTATATTTTTGTCTCACTGTATGAGTAGTTATTTCTCACATACTGTAATATGCAAATGGTTTTAAGCATAGGAAAGCCTGAAACGTTCTATTTGTTAAAGTAATATTTTCAGTGCTATCAATTTTTTCTGCAGTAATTTTACTTAATTTAATATGTGATCGAACTTATATGGGGGGGGGGTATGTATGTGTATAACTTAGCTTAAATTAACCTTTTAGCTAATAATGTATGACTGTTTGCAACTTGATCAAAAAATTGCTATAAAAATTTTTGGATTATGCTTATTCATAATTTAAAATTTATTATTTTATTTTCCAGTGTCGAATCACATATTGATCTCTGCCTTTAGGTACAAAATGTATCTAAATAAATTAGATTTTTTTAAAAAATATATTATTAAAGTTGCAAATTTCATTTCCTCTGAATATTCTTAAAGGAGAGGTATTTTTTTCATTTAAAATAATTGTATTTCTTTATGAACATCTAAAAATATATTTATTTATGTGATTAAAAATATATTTGTGTTAGTGAAGTTGTTTGTATAAGAAGTAGGTATAACATGAATGCCCTTAATTAAGCAGTCAGAATGCATGTGAAAATAAATCTGCTCCCCACCCCCCGAAAAAAAAAAGGATCTGGTTGATATTTTCATTGTGAAAGATTCGAGGATGTGTTTTTATTTACTTTTTAAATGCACGTTAAATTGCATATCAGATTCTTATGTTGAGAAGGAGAAATTTATTCATTTAAATCATTCTGATGTATCATTATACATTGGCAGAATTCAACAGTACTGTTAACAACATGCATCAAAATTTCTTGGAGGGTTAAAAAATGCTGGAGAGGAAATTAAAACTGTTTTGATAATTTTTTTAATACATATAGGGGCCATAGTGATTGCTTTTTATCTTCTTGATTACATTTTATAGAATCGGAACCTTTTTATTTAAGAATGATTAAATTTAGATACTATTTTCAATGGTTGTATATCTGATCTGTGTGCAGTAAAGAGAATCTTGCTGAAATCATTCCATATATCCGTGTGTCATAAAAAGATCAGAATATATATCCATATTTCAATTTTATTTTAGAAAATTAATTCCATATGAAGATAATACTGGAGGATTTATTGCAATGATTAGTGGATGTCAATACTTGTTCATTCAACCATATTCTGAACAGAACAATTAAGAAATTAATGTAATTTATTTTTGTTATATTTATTATTGTGATATCATCCCTTTCTTCATCCACCGCCTCATAGAGAAATAACTCCAGCCTTTTGTATTTTTAAAATTTATTTCACAAACACAAAACTAATACTAAACTACAATACTAATAACTGAAATATATAAAGTAATACAAGTTAATTTCGTTTTCATTAATGGCTTCCACGAGCCTTCCCTATGACCTCTCTGTCGGTCTCTCCCTCTTGGAAACTAAACTTTTGGCGCCTCTCCAGACTGACAGTTAGCGCCCTCTATACGTCTTGTTGGTTGGCGTCACCATAATTTGTCATATTTCAATAGGCTTTCACCCTATTTCAATCTTGGATGGGGGGTGTGACAGATTTAGCTTGAAAAATTCTAGAGAATATGGAATTAATTTATATCCATGTGCTTTTATCTTCATAAATTTTATTTATCTTATAAGTTTCATTTTCATAATATAGTAATGTCCTACATAAATATAAATACTGATGTAAATAATGCATGCCAGAAGTATCCAACATTATAAACTGTAATAAATGAAACATTTAATATTTGCATTTTAATGTATTTCACACACATGAAACAGGAGATTTTTATTTTTTAGGGAAATATTTTTATGTAATCTGTGTGAGTTATTTCTTTCCTTATCAAATCAATCAGTATTTCTTTCTTCATTTCATTTAAATGCTTGTTTCAGCTTAAGTATAATTCAGTCCGTCTTGTTGCCTATAAATGCTGAAGGAATATTTTGATTTTTTGGTTGCTGTAAATATAGTGTTTGATGATAGAAACTGAAATTTTCAATCAAGGTGAAAATTCAAGATGGATAACCGGGTACATTAAGTGTAGCGTTACATTTGAGTACCAAACCTGGAGAAAATATGAAAGCCCATGAAATTAAACAATTTAAATCCATTGCAGCCTAGGAATTTTTCAGTATTTGTTACTATAGGGGTTTTTGGAGTCTTGAAAATCTTGCTGTGCTATCAAAGTCATACGGATTTGGTGATGAGATATTGAATGATAAGGTGCAAGTTACTGATCAAAACACTTCATGATGTTTTAGCTCCATTGTAATTATTCATGCATTATACTCTGCTGAAAACTGAAATGAGTTGTACATCATTTTTTAACAGTTGAAGCTATTTTATTTGTAGAACTTGCTTCCAAATCATTTGGTAACTGATTTATGAATTATCTTCAAATTTATTTACCCAATTTGCATAATAGCTGATTCAACAATCAGAAATTCAAGAATTGGACAATCATCAATGATCCATGAAATGCATAACTAAAGCAGCATAGTAGTGCTTTCATTTTTGTAAGTTTTGAGACTGGGCTGTAGCAAGCAATTCGTTTAGAGTGAAGCCTTCCTGAGGTGACTAACCAGGGTTCCAGATAAGTGTGTTAAGTACTGTTATTAAATTATGATTTGGAAATGCTGCTTGTTTTCTGTGGTTGTTGATGTGAAAAGTCTCATTGTAATTTATTTTTGTATTCTTCCAGCATATCTCTTACTTTTCTTTTTGAAAATGTAAGTAGCTAAAATTTCTAAACATTGTGAACTTTTATTTGGAATGCTAAAATAAGTTCGTAAGCAAAATCCTTCTCGGGAATACCAGAATGAAAATATGTGAATAGTTCATCATTATATTAATAAGGAATATTAGGTCTTGCAATTTTCTGTATCTGAGATCTTTTCTTGAAACATGGCTTCAACAAGACTGCATATTGCTGGTTAATAATAATCTCCATATAGTGCTATAGAAAAGCAGATTTCTGCTGGCTTTATTTCTTACAAACTAGGCTCTACTGATAGCAGAATCCCTGTTGAATGTCTTTTATATTTAAAAATAATGATAAACTGGCAATTTTTTTTTATTTACAATTATTAATTATGAAGCCAAAGGGGAGAATCTTAACCACCATATATCTCTGCAAGCACCGTGTCAGAGAGCTATTGTACGGCTACCCAATATATAGCTAGTGATTAGATTCTCTGAAAGAAAATGTATAAATTTAAATATTATTGCTATTAAAGAGTAATTTTATTTCAATATGCTGTTTTGACTAATATGTATAGGCACTCTGGCATGCAGTCTGCTTTCATTGTAATTTTTGCAGTAAATGTGCCTTTAAACATAAAATTTATCATTTAGCTGGTTGCTATATTACTTAATCACTTTTATAGTTCAAAACATTTCGCCCTTAAGCTGTATTTGCTTTCAATTTTAATAATTATTTGTAAATGTAAAAAATTCCTGTTTTCTTATTGTGTCAAATTTTATGAGTTTTATAGCATGTGGTGTGTTTTGATGAATGGGACCACATATTTTGCAGCTAATGAGGTTGTTTCCAAAAGGTTGTTTATATTTTTTTTTAAATTGTATAATTATATGTTGTTTAGATAAATTTCCTTTACGTCCTTCATTTTATGGATATGTTTTAAATTTTTCCTATTTTGATTAAAACATGTAATCTTTTAAGTAACTAAATCTATTTGTGGATAATTTTTTTTTAAATGATGACTATTATATATAATTTTTTATTTTGAGAGAAATGAAAACTGTAATCTATGTTCGAGACAAATTTTACATTTATGATAACTTATAGATTTTAAAATATCATTAGAAGCCCTAAATGTTCATTATGTAGTTTTTCAAAGGTATGCATTTCTTATAACTTAACATTTCCATCTTGCAAAACATAAAATCGAATTTGAAATGAAGTAGTGACTACTGAGTAAATGTCTTTTTGTAAAATATTCATGTTAAAATAGTAGTTTAAAAGACATTAACTTTTTTTTTTTTTTTTTTTTTTTTTTTTTTCTGTGGCAAAAATATTTTTAAGATACTTGATGTATGGATAAATTTTACAAATCTGTGCCTGAATCTGTGTTTTGTGCATAGAATTGCCATTTCATAATATGAATGCATTTAGTGTTTGCAGCTTCGTTTCCCAGAAAGCAAATTCATATTGTTTGATATTGTGCCATATTATGTCTAGGAAAGCGTGCAATAAATCATGCTGCTGAATAATTAGTCATATCTTTTATAGTGCATGATTTAAAAAACAAATACACCTCCTCTTAAACTGTGTGCATTTTAACGACTAATATACTTCTCCCTTTTGTTAATGAAGGGTTGTCTTTATATGTTATTTCTATTTATAGTTTAAAATGTTCACTAAAAAAGTATCCAAAAGAAATATTTAATAACAAATTTCAGCCATTACTTGGCATTATATTTAGTAAAAAGTAGATGAATGGATTTCAGCAGATAACAGCAAAGATTGCCCTTCTAGAGAAACAGGATTATTTTGTGAAGTCTTACTGCTTTATTCCATAAATTAACACTGAATAATTTGTGCTGTTTATTAAGAGAAATAAGGAGAAATACAAAGGATGGGTTTATGAGATGAGTCCTGTGAAAACTATTGAATTTTGAATCGATGTCGGTAAAGTGGGTGCCAAAATTATTTATTCAAAATAACACCAAATGATAGTTGAATTTTACAAATTATTAAGTTCAGGGAATGCATGTTACACCCATTATTAAAGAAATGAAAGTTAAAATTTGTAATTAATCTATTTTCAGAAACATTGTTTCTCTTCTTAAAGTTGACAAGAAAAACTACCACACTGGTGTTATTAAATATTGAATTCATAGTGGAGCATAATATATTTTAGCTTTCATATAATTGTTTACTTTTTCTTATTATACTTGTTTGAAATATTGTGCCTTTAGTGTACACGATTTGAGAAATATGCCAAAAATCAAACTGATGAACAAAGTTTTAATGTTCTCAGAATGAAAATGTGTATAGTTGTGTAAATTCCCAAGTGTAACTATTTTATTATTGTGCTAGAACATGTATATAATGCTGCCTTTTGTAAAAATATTGGTAACTTAGCAGATCTAAGAGTTTATTGAGATATTCTGTAAATGCAAATATTTACACTTGGTTTTATTTCATTGATTCATTCATTAATGTTCTGTATTTATTTTGAATTAATATAAATTGAAAAATAAAGGTCATAATTCACAAATATAATTACATATGGTTGTATTATTTTTGAAAATAAGACACACTTTTGAATTTATTCTTAATCCAAGAGATGGCTAGAACATTTTATAAAGGTAATTTCTTTAGTTTTATAAAACTGCCTGAAATTATCTGATTGGAGTAAAATAAATGTGTTGAAATACTAATTAATGAAACATCTGGATTTCCAGTAAATCCATGTGAATTCATATGATTAGTTGAAAATGCTACTTTTACTGTAGGTGTTTGCAAAGTATCTTCATTTCAATCAGCAGCAATAATCTCTCTAATTTATTTTTTCTGCCAAGTTAGTGCCAGAATTATCATTAATTAATTATTTTTCAGTACACTTTGTGGTTGTCATTTTTCCATAGATGCTTTTTCACAAGGATTTTTGCTACATGAATTTTGCAAAGACTTTTCAGGATGGCAAACTATGCCTCACTGATTTTAATTCTGCCACTTAGATGAGTGTCAGTCTTTTTCAATATGTATGAGCAGCTGTTACTAGATCAACAAAATGAAATTTAGGATTCACACTTGTTTAAAAGATCATTTTAAATGATAGAAATAGTCATATTTTGTCATTTTTTAAAATCAATGTTCTAAAAATTTCAAGTTTTTATATGTCTCGCATAGTTTTAATGCAAGTTTATATTCAGTTTAGGAAGTAGAACGTATTGACTTCCATGCAATATCAAAAATTAATTGAAATACTTAATAATGAGTTCTATAAGATTTTGTAAACAAGATATCGTTTTTGGAAAAAAATTATATTGATCAAAATATTGCATGACAGTCTGTATAGTACTGTTCAGCAATTGATCTATTAGCACTAGAAACCTTTTTTTTTAACTAATATTTCATTTTGAGTATGCACAGATGCAAACATTCTGTTCTTAAGTTTGCATATGACTGCTTGAAAACATTAAAATGAAATATAATCAATTTTTGTCATAAGAGAATCAAACTTTTTTGTATTCTAGTTTTTAGAATAAGTATAAAACTATATTAAATACAACTGCAGAAACTGAAAGGCTGTATAAAATGTTAAATTTTGTAATTTTTACAAATTTGGTTTTTTAAATTTAAATATGCTGTAGCATGAATATTTTTGTTTTGTAAAACAAAATGCATGTTTTCAACCAATGTTGCAAAATTAACCCTCTCACTGCGTACTTTTTTCACCAAAATAAGTTCAAAAATTGCGTATTTTTTTTATTACATATTTCAAATCTACATAAAATATACAAAAAATTTTTGTAAAAGTTTTTTTTTTTAATATAGAATTAGATCATAGAAAAAGGTTGTCAGAATACTGAAATTGAAGAATAATGATATAAAAAGGAAACTTTGAAAATTAATATTAGTTAAATTATGATTTATTTTATAAAATACCTAAGTAAAAGTTATATACTATCTCTACATATAATAAAAGATGGAGTCTGTCTGTGTGTGTGTGTCTTTCGTTCGCGCTGCACGTAAGCTAATAGACCCACGGCTACGAAATTTGGTACATAGGTGCATCTAGACAAGAGCCAGTGCACCTCAAAGCGATTTTTTCGAAATTCGAATTTTTTTTTATTTTACGTTTTGTGACGAAATTGCGTCATTTTGAGTCAGCCTAGCTTATACCGTCCGTTATACATTAAATGCGCATGCGTAAACGTATTATGCACATACGTAAAGGTATTATGCGCATGTGCAGAAAGTTTGTAGCTTTGAGGTTCGGATTATAGATCATTCCGGATTATGGACATCCGGATTAAAGACTTTGTACTGTATAATTTTTTTTGTTAAGTGCTGTGCCTCTCTTAATGCAGCACACCGTTAATAGGTAAGAAATGACCTTACTTCTGTGCAGTGACAAAGTGATATAATCAAAAATTTGGGATCATTTGCATTTTTTAAAAAGAAAATTGATAATTGCAATTTATTACATATTGTTAGATTTCATTTTAATTTATTTAATAAACTTCTAAAAATATATAAAACATGAAATAATACTGGTTTTACATTTGAGAAGAAAAGACTAGAAGATGATTGGATGAAAAAAAAACCTGATTGGATATTTCTGAAACCTTTATGAATATTTACAGTTTTTATGTTATTCTTATAGAATGATAAATATTCTGATATAAATGATTTGTTTGACTGAGTGTATCTTGAGGGTACAAATGCTTTTTATATTTATAAGCTATCTAAATATGTTTTTGCTGGAATATTGAAAGATGTACTTTACAGTCAAAAGTCGTTAATCCGGACTCGTAGGGACTTCAGCGATTCCGGATTATCGATTTTTCCGGATTATAGATCATCAGTTTAAATCTGGTAAAGTGGCATGCAGAAATAGAAATTATATAAAATTAAAAATATGAAACCGTAATTTACGAAATAAAGAACAATTATGATCTAAAGGGTATCAAAATTTACAAAAAAAGAAAAGCTTAATATTTATTTGTTTACTTTTTATTAAACATTTCTTTCAATGTAAGTGTTTTAAGTTGCTTCGTTTTTTATGTGATAATACATTCTCTTTAATTCCATAAACAGACATAATTTCTTGTTCAGTTACAAAGTTCCGCTGTTCAAGTCCTATAATTGCTGTGTCGAGAATACCGACTAATTTGTCAATCGAAATTTTTTCGTTTTCAATAACCTCTGTCACTTTCTTCCCTATCGGAAGCGAATTATAATGATGAGGCATTTGATTTAAATCATATCAAAGACGAGATGAAATACTACATTGAGTAAGCAATTATAAGCCAAATAAAATAAAAACATCTGCCCTTAAGATAAGGATAGTGCTGACAGATCAACTTCCAATTCAATGCCGCGCCCGCCGCGCGTTAAAGATAAACAAAGTTTAGATAAACAAACGTTTTAAAGTTTAGATAAACTTTATCAAATTTTTTGCAGCAATTCCACTTTTTGTTTAATGGACTCCGAAAGATACTTTCGCTTTGTATATCCTTTACATATTAGTAAATATATATCGGAAATTCTATTTGACATAATCGAAAGTTCAAGCTTACTTTTATAAAAATTGCTCTAACAGTCTGCAAAAAAATAATAATCCGGATCCAAATCGAAGATTAAGGAACAACGCAATCTGCAACATTAACTGAAATAGATCATTAGATAATTTTAGCTTAGCTTATCCCGTCCATTATACATTAAACGCGCATTCGTAAACGTATTTTGCGCACGCGCACACACAAATTAGCAGCGGTAAAGGTCTTACGCGCATGCGTCAACGCGACGCATGCGCAGAAAGTTTGTAGCTTTGAGGTCCGGATTATGGGTGTCCGAATTAACGACTTTTGACTGTACTTAAGTAGGCTATTTTGTAAAATAATTGTTCAGATACGTTTTAACTGGACAATTTAAAGGTTTTAGCAAATTTGGTAAAATTTTTTATTGCAATAATTTTGCTCCATAAAATAAACAAAATTGCTTAATCTATGATTATAAGTAAAATACTCCTTTTTCCCCAAAAAAATAGTATACAAATGTAAATCTTGCAATTTAAAATGTTTATGATTCATTATTATACAATAATTATAGAAAAAATCCTTGATATTCACATATTTTCATTTTAAAAATATAGACATTTATGGATTTGTAAAATTTATTAAAGTGTGTAATGTGCCAGTTTAACAGATAACTGGTGCAATAATTCCTGTATACATTAGAAAATAATTTCACATACGAAATACTGGTAAATGTTTTGCCAGTGATGAATTGTTTGAGTTGGGAACTATTTTCAGACACAGAGCTAAAACCTAGAAGAAAAAAGAATAAATAAATATACTTTTTAAATTTTGTAACATTAATTTATTTAAATACATCTATGTTAAGGTGAATAAAAAATCAAATTAAAAATATTTTCATTTGAAACAAATATAAGGAAAGATCAAGAAGTTTCTGCCTGGATTCTCTATGCTGTGATATTTGCTTTATTTTGAAACTGCCACAAACATTAAGGCAATTGTTCAATTGTTAAAACAGAATAAAGACATCTTTTAGCCATGTCTACTTAACTCTCTATTACTAGAAGTGGACTAATATGTAAAAAATAGCATTGTGACAGATTTGGACTATACAGATGAGAGAATTATTTGAGAGTACCCAACTTCTTTATAACCCTTGCATCACAAAGTTTCAAATATACTGTAGTTTGCAGCTACTTAAATATATCATATTACTGTTTATCTTCCTACAGCTTCCAGGGAGGGAAAAGAGATAACCTTACATTGGTCCATGGTATAAATTTAATATCAACTATGCTGTCAAAATATGTGCCCTAATTTTCTGCACAACAAATACTGATAATAGTTAGCCCATCAGCTTACTCAGACGTGGCACACATATCTACATGTATATGGAGCTATCAAATGGAAACTTTTTGATCACTCAAAATGTAATAATTTTGTTACGGAATTACATTTGTTTATATATAATTTTTGGAAGAATCTCAGATTATGTACTATATAGGTAAGAAAAGTATGTTTGTTTCTGTAATATTATTAGATGTAGAAAAACATGAAATAAGCATATAATTAAATATGTGAAATTTTTAGGTAACTTCTTGCTTATAAAATGCAGTTAGTTCATTAATATATCAGAAAATTAATTAAATGCTTTTAAAAATTTTGTATACATATAAATAATTTTAGTGAAATTATATGTAAATTTTAGTATGTCTTGTATAAATGGTATAATAAAACATCAGACTGCGAATCATTGCTGGAAAAAGTATAAGTCCATTTAACATTGAGGCTATCTCGTAAAACTGGTGATGATTTTAGTGACTAATTTTTGTCGTCATATTTAGCCAGAAATCGTTGTTTGGCAACATTTTGCTCCAAACCCTGTTGACTTTAAGTGTATCTGGCCTTAGGTAACTGTAACTAGTAATGCTTTCCAGCAATTTTGAAAAATCAAAGGTAATGGAAATTTCTCTGTGGTTGCCGCAAAACTATGCAAGACTGGAAAGAGCACCAGTTTTAGTTTATCTGATGTAATAACTATGGTAATTATGAGTATTGAGAGATCACCATGTGAGCTTACACATCTGAGGCTACCTTGTGTTCAATATTCTTATTAGTTTGGAGTAGTAACTAATGACTGTACTCTGTCATACTCAGAAGAGCTGTATAAGTCACTTTGTGTGAAAGGCTCCAGAACTGTAGAGTGTTTTTTGGAAAAATAAATTTCATCAAGCTTTCATCAGTTCTGTGTGCATTCAATCTAATACAAACCTATATGCACATAACAATTTTTGGTGTCAGAAGCGGAATTGAATTCCAGTGACGAGTGATAGAGGAGCAACTAAGACAGCCTTTGCTGCATTCCCCCCCCCAAAAAAAAAGATGTTACAGAAATCAAGTCCATTACAGAAGAGATGAAATCAGGCAAAGAAAAGATGGAAAAGATTATCAAAATCTGTTAAAGAAGAGATAAAACGGGCCAAGTGAAGATGGAAGGAACCGTCAAGTCAATTCAAGAAAAGTTTGAAGTAGGTCAAGAGAAAATGAAGAGATATTTCTGCCATAATAGAAAAGAAATTCCAGGCTATGGAAGGCAGAATAGTCTTTGAAATAACAGTTTCTGCTGCCGAACAACAAATCAGAGAAAGCGTCTCTGCTGTCAAACAACACATTGAAGAAAGAATTCTGCTGTCAAACAGTAAATTGATGACAGAGTTTCTACTGTCGTCCAAGGAAGCTCACAGCTTAAAGAAATCCATACTGACAGCAGGAAATAAATTTGATGGCTTTAAATTCTTACCTGTGTCTTCTCAACCCTCTCTAAGCCTATCCACGTATGATTAAAATACCTCCTGGCAAGTGTACAAGACTCAGTTCTCTAGACTTAAATGTATGAGATTCTGAAGCAAAGGCCTGCCATCTCACATCTTCTCTAAGAGCAGATAGATAGATATCCTTTAAATTCTGCGTAAAAACCAGAGCCTAGACTTTGAAACTCTTATTATTAGTAGAGTATTAAGTATTTAAAGAGAAGTATTTAAAAAGAATATAGCAGGCTTTACTTAAAATCTCACCAACAGAGGCCCATGGAAACATTCCAGGAGCTTGCCATGGATGCTGAAAAGCTGTTTCATCTCACCTTTTCAGACTGCCCAACAGAAATGAAGGAAATTCTGTTTCTTCAATACTTCTTCGATGGCATCCAGGATCCTGAGAAACAGAAAGCTCTACGAATGGCAGATATCAAGGATCTAAAATGAGCTTTAGTGTACAGTATGAAATTTGATGCAGCCCAGCAAGCAACCTGTAGAGACTGCCAACTGATCAGAGTTGCTTATGTCAAGTGACTGCTCATGTAGACAACTTAACCAGGTAAATTAATGCCTTGAGATAGAGTATGAATAGCAACAAACCGACCCTAAAGTGCTGAAACTGTGGTCGTGAAGGCCATGTATGAAGACTTCAAGGTACAGAAGCTAAGACCACTTCCCAGCAAGGAGACGGGAAACAAATTAGTGGCCATCTTGTGGTGTGGAGGTAGCCAGATATTGAGAAGTCCTGTTTTAAAGCACTTCAGATTTCTGAAACGAGTGGAAGCATAATGGACTCATCATCATGCGACACAAAAACGGAATTTCTTGCCAAATGACCATCGATACAGGAGCCTATGTTACCGCCATTCGAAAAGATCTGGCTCAATGACTGAAGGGTAAACTCATCTGGACACTGCCCTGTTTTACCCTCCAGAGTGATAAAATTGACAATGATGGAAAGTTAAATATTTTATTGATGGTAAACATCACTTTTGGAAGTACTGCGTACCATCACACGATATATATGGCAGATATAAGATACCTTTGCATACTCATATTAGACTTTAAGGAAATACAATTTTTTCTTGGACTTGAATGAACTGCATTCTGCCTCTGAGTACATAACCCTATTTGGAATCAAAGATAAAGGAGTTAAAACCAATCTTCATATAATATTTCAAGATGACATCACAGTACCAGCAAGAACAGAATTTTTACAATAGCTGAGAACAGAAATTTCCGATACAGTATAATTGAATATTCTAAAAATTGTAATAGCACAAAAGCAGTACTAGTAACCTCTGTATTTATCAATCTGTTGAGAACCATCATTCTGGTGAGAGTTCTACAGGTAAAAGTCATAAGGAAAGGCAAGGTGGTTGCAGCATGTATTCCAGTGGTCTACGTTAATTGAACTAGCAGTCTTCCAATTGCTGTGTTTTTAAAGAGTCTAACATTATAGTTACTGCTACATGCACAACTAAGCATTGACAAGAGGAGTGCTGCAGAATGTGCCATTCAAAAATTTCAAAATATTTCTCTCGCACATCTGACGTAAAGTGAACCAGTTAAGCACAGCATAAAATTGATATGGGGAATCATTTGCCAATCAAGCAACATTCAAGATGTCTACCAATTGCTAGATAGAAAGAGGTAGGAAAATTTTTTAAGGACATGTAAGAAAGTGATGTTTTAGATTTCTCAGCAAGGGTGTTCTCCAATTATTCTGTCAAAAAGAAGATGGTTCAACTATAATTTGCATTGACTGCTGCTGTTTGAACAATGTCATGAAGAATGACAGCTACCCTCTTTCTAGAACTGATGATATTCTGGAACACTCTTTCTAGAATCAAGTGGTTTTCTGTGATTAATTTAAAGACTGAATATTGGCATGTAGAGATACATCCTGATGACTGAGAGAAGACAGCATTTACTACAGGACAAAGACCATGGCAGCTCAAAATGATGTCGTTTGGATCATGCAGTGCACTAGCAACATTCGACCACCTCATGAAGACCGTACTTTCGTATGAAACCTATTTGATATACCTGGATGATATAGAATCTAGAAAAGGTTTTGAGCAGCATTTATAAAATATTAGGAAGGTCCTTCAGAAACTGAAGGAAGCCAGTCTAAAGTTAAGTCCTGCCAAATGTAAATTGTTCAGACATGAAGCAAAGACTTCTTGTACGTGTCATCTCTGCCAAAGGTGTTCGTACAGATACAGAAAAAGTGTCAGCAATTAAAGATTGGAGATGCCCTGAAATTGTCTACTAGTTGAGAAGTTTTCTGGGGCACCTACTATAGGAGAATTATGAAGGACCTTTCTTCCATTGCATGACCCCCTTCACAAACTGATAGAGAGCAAACAAAAGTCCTTGTGTACAAAAGAATGTGATAATAAGGAGGCTTTAACACCTCCTAAAATACAGTTATTTTGGGATGGTCCTTAGACATCATTGTTCAGATGTGTAATCACTGAATTCTAAACCTAAAGCCACAGGAATAAAGAAAGAATTACGATAGGCTCACTTCTTACTATAGCCACGCTATATAGTCTTCATATTGTATATAATATAAATAGTATATTAAGACCATGGTCCTATGTTTATATATAAACTTTAAATTCATGCATATATTTATTGATCAATAACTTTGTGACAATCCTGATGCCTCAGCTCAAAAAACCATTTATTCTTGAGGTAGATACGAGCAATGAGATGTCAATGCTGTTTCGTCCCAAGAAATAAACAGTCAAAAACAAGTCATAGCGTGCTGAAGCAAGTGTCTATCTACACTGGAGAGGAATTACTGTGTCAGCAGGAAAGAGTTGGTCACCATAGTTAAAGCTGTAGAACATTTCCACCATTATTTCTAGTGCAAAAAAATCTCTGCTCCACAGCTTGTTGATTTGGCTCTTAAATTTGAAGAATCCTGAAGGTCAAATAGCTAGTTAGATACAGAATATGCCATCACTATCTCTCATAGGAAAGGATAGTCAAACAAAAATTCGATGCTCTGCCTAGAAGATCCTGCCCAGAAAGCTGCTGATATTGTTCCAGGGTTGAAGTGAAATATAAGCTGGTAATCCAATTGTATATCAAATTGCAAATTCAACATTGCCTGAACCAGAGCCATGGAGTGATGAAAAAGTCAGGAAAGACAAGAGAGACAGCAATATTAAACCCATCATTGATTTAATGGAATCTTCAAATAGAAAACCTACCTGGCAGGATATTTCCATCTATAATCCTACAGTTGATAATTGAATGCAGAGTCTGAACACACGTGCGACTTACTTAGACTATTCGGGTCTAGTCCAGATTCTGCAACTATCCGGGGGCAACACCTCATGGGCCCCACATTGATTCTGTTTCATAATACATGCTTACATAGTTCATAATTCTTCACTGTCCATAATACATACAGTACATACACAATGCTGATCTCTACTAAAACTACAGGGAAAAAAGAGAGAGAGAGAGAAGGAGGGGCTGTAGCTTGCTTTGGAAGTTCACTGTTTTTCTATATTTTCCTTAATTGACTGGGATCTATTTCGCACTGCACAAGCCTTGTTCCCAATTTCTGCATTATCTTGCATATTTTGCTGCGATGCGAAATGCTGGCTGTTTGATCAGATAACACTTATGAGATACTGCCTGTTCCAGAAGCTGCACATGCCATTGTATGGTTAGAGGGCATCGGGTCAAGTAATGGTCTGGTTTTCTCATGGCTCCACAGACACATCTATCAGTATTTGCTGTTCCTTGTTTGTAGTAATAGGAGGGAAAAGGCCTGTGCCCCATCACAAATCTCATTATTTGTAGGGATGACTCAAGACAGTGGGCGAGACTTTATGGTAATATTCATAGGTCCTTCTGCTTTGTTGATTAGTGTCCCTCTTTCATTGTCACTGGTGCTGAGCTGCTGTCCTTGTCACTTTTTTAAGGTGAGATCACGAGAGTTTGGTTATAATGCTTTGAGCACTGATATTGTGAGCTACTTTCTTTTGCAAGGTCTGCTTCCTCCTTACCTTGAATGCCAGCATGCACCTTTATCCAAAAAATGAGGGTATTCGTTGTCAACGAATGCTCCTTCAGCATCTCTTGAATCTTCACTATGATGGGAGATGGATGTCTGGGGTTTCGTAAGGCATATATGACCGACAGGCTATCTGTAAGAATATTGATAGTGGATCCAACTGTCTATAATCCTACAACAAAATAATATTGGGCTCGCTTGAACTCAATCCATATTTGAAATGGCATCTTATAATGGAAGTGCAAAATAGATGCTGGAAAGGCTTTCCAATGGTGGCTGATTCCAAGACCCACGATCCCAGATATCCTTAAAGAATTACATAGCTGTCTGACAGAAGGCCACTTCAAAATCATGAAAACTTTGCATAGAGATTGAGAATGCTTCTACTGAAGTAAAGCAAGGGCTGCTCTGCAAAAGTAGTGCCAATCTTGCAATGCGGCCCGGGCCAGAAAGGACCGAAGAAATGCAGCTGAGGGAAGTTGCAATGTTACACTGTAGGAGTACCTTTTCAATGCATCCCCTCAACATCCTAGGATCTCTGCCACAATCTGCTGATGACAAAAAAATATATACTCATTGTCATTGATTACTTTAGAAGGTGGCGAGAAGTGTATCCTATCCCTGATTAAGAGGCTGTCACGGTAGCACAGGTAATGATACAGCATTGGATTTGCAGGGCCTCTTCAGTTATATCCTGATCAAGGAAGAAATTTATCTCGACTGTAATTAAAGCCCTCTGTAAATTACTCAGGATAGACAAAACCTTAAATGGCACTGATACCTTTATATCCACAGTCAGACAGCATGGTAGAGAGGTTTAATCAAACCATTCTTAATAAAGTTTCACTGATGGTTTCCAGAAACCAACATGCTTTGGACCAGAAGTTACCTCTGTTCTTATTGGCCTGTTGCAGTAGTGTCCACAAGACTACTGGCTACTCCTGATACCATATACTCTCTGATCGTGATCTTTGTCTGACTTGTGATATGTTGTTTGGTCACCCTTCGGATGCGCCTTAATCACCTGATTTAGGCTCATCCGAAGTTATTTTGGGGTGGTCTTTAACAGTCCTAACAACATCATTGTTCAGATGTGTAATCATTGAATTCTAAACCTAAAGCGGTTCGTTACGACAGGCTCACTCCTTACTATAGCCATGGTATATAGTCTTCATATAATGTAAATAGTATATTAAGACCATGGTCCTATATGTATATATAAACTTTAAATTCATGCATTTATTTATTGATTTAGCATTTTATTATTTTTTTAAATCATTGTTTTAGTATTGCATTTAGTACTTGCAGTTCTTGGGAAGTGGACAATGTCATGAATTTTATATACATGTAAATTTCTTCTCCTTAAGTTGCACTATAGCCTATTACAGGCCAACACGCTTCCTCCAACGGATCCGTTGAGTCTTGAGATCTGCCTCCACACAGTCTATCCATCTTGTGAAAGGTCTCCCTCTTTTCCTGATACTCACTTGCAAAAGTCACATTTTTAACGGGGTTCAAGTTATCACATGTAAGAATATGTCCAAGCCACCTGATATGATAAGATATGATGACTTAGGTTGTTTGTATCTTCTACAGATTTCATGGTTAAACAAAATTCTCCAACACGTGTAAACTATTTTAATGAAATTGTAAGTAAAATGTAATATCTCTTGTAGTAGTAGTATGGAAAGTATCAAAATTCAAACATCACTAAAAATGTATGGGTACAGGGCAAGTCTATTTAACACTGATGTAAATGGCTTGTCGAGATACGCGCAAGCTGACGATTGTTTTGCAACTAATTCTTGTCACCAGATTTGGCGAGAAATTGCCAAACTTGGCCAAATATTGGTCTAAACTTTATGTAACTGTTATTGTATGCGGCCCTATATAACTGCAGTTGTGTATGTCTTCCAGCAATTTGAGAAATCGAAGGTACTGGAAATTTCTCAACAAATGAAGGAAAACTATACAAGAGCAGGTAGAGCATCAATTTCTTTAGCTAAGAGTATTGAAAGATCATTCTGCGAGCCTGCACATTTGAGGTTCTTTGTATTGCCTTGTGTTCAGCATTCTTAGTAGTTTGAAGTAGTATCTACTGATTGCACTCTATCATACTGAGAAGAGCCATATGAGTCCTCTTGTATGAAAAGTTTCAGAACTGTAATGTGTTTTTGGAAAAATAAATTTGATCAAGCTTTTATCAGTTCTATGTGTATTCAATCCATTATGAACTTGTATGCATGTAACAATACATTATGAAAATATATAAATAGATAGAATAGTTATTTAGAAAAGAAAAGAAAAATAGTTTTTGACAGCTCTATCTGTATATTTTCTGAGACATCACTCATTTTAATTTTGGCAATGGAATTAACATAAAACTGGATTCCCAATCATTAAAATCTTCTTCAAATTTTTTTTTATAAAATGTATGTCTTAATAATGCTAATTAACTTATGGTAAATGCATTCACAGGTTGTATGTAATTGCTATGTTGACTGCCAGTTTGATACCACTGGTGTAGACCATGATAGACTACATGAATTGAGTGAAATAAAATATTTACAAAGATTATAAATTAAATAGAAATTATTTGGTTTAAGCATATATATTCATCTTGATCTTTAGCTTTAATCAATAATACACCATTTGATAATGCTAACTCTAAAATGGATCATTAACTGCATAAAGTTTCAGAAATGCAAATGACTACTGAAATATGAGACTTTAATTAAAACTTTTATATCGTTTTCAACCCTTTTCGATTGTTAATTTTTTCTAAAAACAAATCAATTTACAAACTGAATGAATGATGCAAAGCTAAGTTTTGACTTGAGAAATTATTTGTTTTTACATGCAGTTCTATTGCACTAGTAAATGACCTTGATTAACTTTTGTATTATGGTCATTTACTTAGTATATAAAGCAAAATTTATTATATTTATTACATTCATGTTTGTTCTTATTTTAAAAACTTATCCTGAATCTTTGAGTCATTTACTTAAATGATAAAATAATAAATATTTTTATAATTATACAATGGCTCTTAAAAATCAATTGAAAAAAATCAATCAAAATATATAAAAAATAATAATCAATCAAACATAATAAAAAACTCCCTCCTCATTTTATGCAAAATATTAACACAGAATGTAATTTACTTCTCTTGTATCTTGGGGAGAGATAATTCCATCAGATTTCATAACTGAAGCATGATAAAAAGCACTTGTATGATTCTCAAACAGTGTTTCGAACTCATTCATGTTTTCTGTTGAGCTTAACTCTTTTAAAATGTTGTTTTCAGTTGCTACAGCCTGAAAAACATAAATGGCTTAATGTTTATACAGTGTGTAATACATATAAATGTAATAACTTGTTCATAATATTTAACCTAAATTAATGTTAATTTTCATTTAAAAAGCATATTGTTATATATTATTTCAATACTGTGATTCAAAATTTGGAAATAATATTGCAGACTACTTTTTATGATTTATTAAAATAAGACAAATGTATTATCTATAAATATATTATAGAACTTCTTGAAATAAGAAAAGAACTGCTTAAATAGTGCCTAATTTGTTTTCAGTGTGAATAAGCAATATAGAATTTTATGTGTTATACACAGAGTATTAAAAATAATTTTAATTAATATCCACTTCAGCTATTTGTTAGAAGAATTTGGGGATCATGGGGGCATTTAAATGCTAATGACAATATGTAGCTCTACAGTTTCAAATACATACATAATTTGAGAACATTTAATAGCAAATTAATAATGTTATGAAATTTAAAATTATGCAGTATTTTATTTCAAGAAATAATAAACTGGCATAAAAGAAGATTCATATTAGCTCAGAAGATATTTGAGACCTATTTCTGAAGTTTTATTTCTTCAGTAATGTATGCTTAAGAAAATCAACGTAATTTCCATTTCATATACAGTAAACTCTCGCTACAATGATACCCGATACAACAATAACTCCATCTACTACAATAATGTTTTGTGGTCCCGGTGATTTTGCATATAAACTAATGTTAATCTCCCCTCAATATTGCTATATTCTCTAGAACAATAAACCTCTGTAAAACGATTTTTTCAATCTAAATTTCAGTATTATTTTCTCCCTTTATAATATTTTGATTTTCAAATGCTTTTTTTTTTTTTTTTTTCCGTTTTTTTTGTTTTTTTCCGTTTTAAGACTGGATATTCAGCTTATCCCTGAATCAATAGCTATTGTTCAGATTTCAAAACAGATGAAGACCACCCTTTTGGGAATTGGAGTGGGTGAGGGGGGTGAAGTGTAAATGTATGCCTAGTCTCGTTTCCCAGTAAGCTTTGGAATTCTGATAAGGTTTAAGGACATCTAGACCTGTCTGGATCACCTTGTCACAGAACAACGTGCCCTTTGTTAGAGGAACAGGGGGAGATGCAGGCGGAGTGTTGTTTAAGTGACGTACTGAAAAGTGAGTTCAAAGGTTGTTTTATAGTCTTTAACGATTTTGAGTTCTACGCGAAACATTTGGTTTAAACTTTTCTTTCTTTCACGCGATATTGTTCCCTAAGATGGCAGGGCAAAAGCAACTATCTTTTCAAGATAAAACTGAACGTTATCAATGATATTGATGAGGGAATGAAGCAGATTGATGCGGCTAAGAAACATGGATTATCGCCAATCTACAGTTGCAACGTTCCTAAAGAAGAGAAAGCAAATCGAAGATGCTGTAACTTCAAATGAAATTAACCCAGAGCGAAAACGACTGAAAGTTGCGACAAATGAAAACATTGATGCTGCTGTTTTAAAATGGTTTCAAGAGATGAGAGCAACAAATGTCCCAACAAATGAACCTTTATTATGTGCAAAAGCATGGAAATTTGCAGCAATGCTAGGGAACGAAACTTTCAAAGCTAGCAATGGTTGGTTAATGCGTTTTCGAGATTGTCATGGAATAACTTTCCAAGAAGTTCACGGAGAGAAAAAGTCAGCCCCGATAAATGACGCAAATGAATGGCGGCAAAACAAGATGAAAGAAATCTTAGAAAAGTATACTCTTGAAGACATTTATAAAGCAGATGAAGCTGGGCTGTTTTTCCAACTGCTACCTAATCGAACATTGGTATTCAAGGGTGAAAAGTGCTATGGAGGGAAGAAATCAAAGCAGAGACTGACTGTTCTTCTGTATACAAATAGCACAGGAACATATAGAATACAACCTCTCGTCATTGGTAAATCATTGAAGCCAAGGTGCTTTAAGAACGTGAAAAGTCTTCCCGTGGAGTATAAAGCAAATAAGAAGGCTTGGATGAGGTCTAAATTTTATTCCGAATGGTTACAGAAGTTAGACAATGAAATGAAGAAGAAAAAGAAAAAATCGTTTTGTTGATAGATAACTGCGGTGCTCACACATCATTTCCAAAGCTACAAAATATCGAAATTGCTTTTTTCCCTGCCAACTGCACTTCAATTTTACAGCCTCTTGATATGGGCATAATTAAGTACTTCAAAGGATACTACAGAAAACGGTTGGTGGACTCCATACTTGTAAACTTTGAAAATAAAGTAGAAGACCCTTTCAAAGCTGTAAATGTCAAGGAAGCGTGTGACAATATTGCTGGAAGTTGGTGGGAAGTAACAGAAAAAACCATTCGGAATTGCTGGAAAAAGGCCGGTCTTTGTGTTATGGAAGATAAGAAATCTGATAATGATGAAAATTCCATAGACAATGATCTCTCAGATGATCAAGAATGTGTTTTGCTCATCAAAAAATCCGTATCCCAACTTGAGGAAACAAGCGGTAAAAAGTTTGGAATTAGTATAGAAGACTATTTAACAGCAGATGATGATCTTATGGTTTTCGCAGGAGTTACTGATGAAGATATTCTCTCTGAAATTACTGATGAGATAGGAAACAATGATGAAGATGATGATGATGATAATACAGGTCCATCGCAGTCCTTATTGTCATCCCAGGAAGCTCTTCAATCTGTGAATTCTCTACGGACATTTTTTTCAAGCCTTCCGTCGACAAATGAAGTGCACTAGACTCAATGCATACAGTATTGGTGAACTTAACAGTTAAAAAAATCAATAAACAAACAAAATATTGGATTATTTTCAATAAAAGTGTTTTCAGGTATGTGAATATTTCTGTGCTTATTTTCTGAATTTATCTTATTTATTTATTTTTTTTAGTATTTAAACCACTATTATTAGTATTTTACAAATTAATTTCTTCTAAATATAGACTTAAAAGTAGTATGTTATGCACCTTAATAATAATAAAATATAATAAAAAAATAATGTATAAATAACCTAATAATAATAATAAAAAAAAACTCTTATTAAATGCTCAAAATATGTGGGCCCTCGATATAACAATATGCCTCTCTACAACAATATATTTATTTGGTCCCTAAAATATTGTTGTAACAAGGTTTCACTGTATTAAATTAGTATAACATTTCTAAATCAATCTAAATTCTACATGGCAATATTTTGCATACATGATTTTTATGCAAATATTCAATTTATATTTATATTACAGTAGACTCCCGATTATCCGCGGAGCAGATTAACCGTGCCTGCCGCACAAAGGTGTTTTTTTTTTTTTGTTTTTTTTTTTTACACAAGCGTAAAGCAAAGAAAATAAAAATGTTTACAAAACTGAGCGAAATGTTAAATTTGCTAACAGCGTGCTTATTTATGGCAAAAATATCCCAGGCCTTCTTGAAACCTTCCCCTCTGATGAGTTAGTGATTTCTTACTCACCCTTGCAGTGCCCGCTTAACTGCCCTCTCTCTTCTTAATCTTACTGACACGTCCACTTCCTCCCACTCGCCATTGTTAGTTTAAGCCTGATAGTGTTTGCGAACCAGTCAGAGTTAATTTCTCATCTTTTATTGTGTTCAGTGCCTGTGCTTTTTGGTTTTGTGTTTTTCGTTATCGATTTAAAATGTCAGGAAAATGAAACAAGGTTGTGTTGACGATTGTGCAAAAACTAGAATTAATTTCCAAAGTAGCAAACGGCACTACAAGGCAACAATGGAAATGGATTACGGAATCGCAGCAACAACAGTGTGTGACATTCTAAAGCAAAAAGACAAACTGGTGAACTTTGCATCAATGTTGGACAGTGCTTTCACAATGAAAACACGAAAAACTATGAAGGGTTCTACCTTTGAAGAGCTAGACATGGCATTGACAGAGTGGTTAGCTCAAGTTCAAAACGAGGGTACTCCTGTAAATGGTCCTATAATTCCGGTGAAGGCAAAAACCTTTTTTGAGCTGTTAGGCGTGAAAGGAAATTTTGACGCGTCTTCTGGCTGGTTGACTCGTTTTAAGCAGCGACATGGAATTCGAGAAATTGGACTTCATTTGGAGAAACTTGGTGGTGACCAACAAGCAGCCGACGATTTCCACGAAGAATTTGTTTTAAAAGAAAAGCTATTTTTTGAACAAATTTACAATGCCGATGTATCGGGACTTTTGTGGAAATGTCTTCCTACTCGCACTTTAGCATTTGAAAGTGAAAGTAAAGCTGCGGGTCATAAAAGCAACAAGGAAAGGATCACTATCATGTCTTGCAGTAACGCTGCAGGTGGACATAAATTTAGACTTGTTGTCATTGGAAAGTCAAAAAAAAAAAAAAGCCGAGATCTTTCAAAGGCACAAGGATAGAAAACTTGATTACTTTAACCAGAAAAATAAATAAATAAATAAAAGAATGGTTGAACCGAAACATTTTTCAAGAATGGTTCTAAAAAATCTTTGTTCTTCAAGTGCGTAACATCTTAAATTTAGAAACCTGCCTGAAAAAGCTGCGCTATTGATCGACAACGCACCTTCTCACCCAGCAACAAGCGTGCTAAAGTCTTCTGATGGACAAATGTTTGCAAAGTTTCTCCCCCCAAACGTTACTGCGCTCATCCAACCATGGATCAAGGAGTCATTGCAACAATGAAGAGAATATGCCGAACCAAACTGCTAATGACCAAAATTGAAGAAGGTTATGATCTGAAAGAGTTTTGGAAACACTACACAATCTTGGACAGCATCTATGATATTGCATCTGCATGGGACTCAGTGAAACCGTCAACCCTCATAAAATCATGGAGAAAACTCATATCTAATGTTGACGCCAACAACAGCCTAAACCCCTTTGAGTTGTGAAGAAGAGAATAAAGTTGTAGACATGCCCACGCCAACTCTTGCCGATATGGTGAAAACAGTTCCGGGGGGTGAGAACGTTGATGCTGAAAACATTAATGAGAGGTTGGAGTGTGACATCAGCGAACCTGGCTTCGAAGGCTTGA